TGTTTTATGTTGCAATTTTCTGCGTTTTATTGCCAATGCTACTTATCGTTTCTTGTTTTTTTGTAAATTGCTGCAATATTTAGTGCAAAATATATTTGTTGAGATATTTTCAATGCATCGTCTTAGCAATCCGTTAGTATTTACATGTAAATTTCACTTCTTTTTTAATGATTTAAGCAACTTATGCATAGCCATGCATGTTACATTGAACAAGTTTTCTCATTTCCTTTTTCACCTTTTTTTAAAGTGAGACTGATTTAATTCTCTAAACTTTTGTAAAATTGATGATTCCTTGCATCTTTTGAATTTTTGTGTTTATAATGTATCACTTTTTACGGGAAAGTTTTTTCACAGGTTTTTTTGTTCATATGTGCTATATTTTTTGCAGATGAAATCTATATGTTTATTGACTTAATGCCAAATGTTATGTTATATATTTACTTTAGTGAACATATTTTCTGAAAAATTTGCTCCTTTTTATAGTTTTTCAAATAACCTATGTATTTTGACCCGGCTAGCTTAAATAAACTGGGCTAGGCTCAGTTTGTTAGCTTTACTGAATTCGATTCGTGTTTGGAGACTCCCGCAGTTGTTGCTGACGCGTGGTAGCCCGTTTAGTAGTATGATTTTTTTTGGAATGTTGGACTTTGCCCTCCTTTTTGTGGTATTCATATCTAGCGATGTCGCCTTTTTTTCGATATTTATTCTTCTATGTTTGAGCTGTGTTGGAGCTTTAATGACTACTAATATTGTTGCTTTTTAGTGTCTTTGCACTAAAATGAGCCAGACTGAACACAGTTCTCATGACTCCTTGTCGCCAGAAGAGTGTGACAGGCTTGTGCTTTCACCCCCTCCAGTTGCTTTCGATGCAGCGAAACTTAAGGAGTTCCTTTGTGTTAATCGTGCTATTTCTGCGAAGGTCAGTCTGCACTCAGTGAACATAGCTGAATATTCTTCGCCTCCACCGAGGCATGCTAGTGTTGCCTGGTCCCGTAGTGAATTTGATTCCAAATTCAGGCATTGTAAGTATTTAACAATTCTGCTTTTCTTCGTAATTTGGTAAACTAAGGGCATTTTTGTTTTATAGATGCATAGCGAGTGTTTAGTACGTGGATGTTTTAGCAAATTGTTCCGTTTTACTCGAATAAACTTCGTGGTATTATAGCTTCGTTATTTGGCTACCTAGTTTCATTATTAAGAATGGAGTCATCTGTATATTTTTCTGGGGTCTTTTAGTATTGTTTTCGCTTTACTTTTCTACGTAGGCATTTCTAAAATATCTTATGGATTATTTTGAGGTGGTCTTGCTATTGTGCGACGGGCGTTTGCTTTTAATCATTCATTTTAGTTGTTTAGTACTTTTTATTTGAGCTTTGGAAGAAAGCCAAACTAATGTTTTAATTTGTGCGTTTGGCTTTTGTGCAGTGCATCAATTGATGTTGAAGTTTGGACCGGTTTCGTTTATTCCCTAGTGGGATAATTATTGGTTATTCCTTCGTTTTCGAGAATCTCTCTGCTTTGTATGTTCCTGTCTTGATTGTAACTCTTGTAATGTCGTAAAACTTTTTGTTTTTTTGCAGTCAAGATTTGCTCTATTAGTAAGGTTTTGCTTGCTGATACATTGGTTGAATTAATTTTGTAAGTGCACTATGGTGCGTATTAGTTATTGCATCATTCAAATAAGCAAGCAGCGATCTGCTTACAGCCCATGACTTGCTCAAGCTTGGATTCGGTTTGTCTCGTTGATGCAAGACGGAAATGCCGGGTTTCATCTGCATGTTTTTTTCCTCACCTAACCAGATGAGTCAGAATTAAAATCGGCCGTCACCTCTGAAGCCCTTCAAGAGGTGCACTTGAAAAGAATCTCACTGGATCCTCAAAAAGACTCAGAGCCGGTAACTGCTTCACCATCTCCCATCTCGATTTGTACCGAAGGGTCGGAGAGTGTTCTTCCGGCCTCACAGACGGCAAGTCGGCCGGTAGTTCGAGGCGGCGTTTATGGTTGGAGGCGCTTCCTCTGTTGCGTCCCTTCTCGCGCCAAAGTACTTGAACATTCGGATCGTCCGCCTCTTAGAGCCATTTTGGGACGTGATGAGTCCATTCACTCGAATCTCGAAGTTCTTCCCGAATTTTCTGCTACAAAATTTAGCAAATCATCCAACTGGTCTGGCCTATTTAAGAGACAAAAGAACTTCAGCCCTGGATCTACTAAGGCAGCGGTTAAGCTGCGCTCAGTGCAAAAGGCGCCCCAGCTAGCAGACGAGCGTCTTAAGTCACCCGCACCCGCGCTCCTTGTGACCCGACACGAGGCCTCGGTTTCAGTGCCATCCGAGGCCGATCACACTCATTGTGAAGAAAATGGTGTGGCGGGTTACCACGTGAACTTGGATGACCGTATGTCCGAGTCGGTTCACTCCCAAGATAGTCTTCGTAGTGAGGACTCTGATCTGGAACCCGTTGATCAGGTGAAATTATTCCCGTTACAAATTCTGTTGTTTCCTTCTGATTTTTTGTGCTTTAAACTCCCTCAAAATGGAACCGACACTTCACGCTGTCCAACTACGTGTTCCTATTTAAAATAACCAGATATCTCACTGTGCCAAAAACCCTCGATGCATAAAGATCACTGAAATCACTGATGAAACTAACCTAAATTACCTCAAGGTTTTACGCTTGGGTTTAACGATTATGTACGTCCCACTTCTCCTATGTCCTCAGACAGTTACGTTACCTGTGTGTTTGAGGTGTTTTTATACTACCCTATTTTAAACAACTACACTTTTTTTAAACTCATACTACTATATCCCTTTCTTCGTGGACACGGAGATCCCATTTCCTTTAGATTGGGTGAATCAATATGCTGACTGTATTTTCTCGCATGTGGAGGTGTGTGCAAAGGTGCATGTGTCCTCTTCTAAATTGAATATTCTTTCATCCAGTCTGCGTTCGTGACATGCACAACTTGAATATATCTTTATGCAACAGTTGTCAGGGTGAATCATGATCCTAATATTTTGACTACTGTCAAGTTCATTTGAACAGAACGCATAGCGAAAGGAGGGGTATGCGAAGTGAGAGGAATCTGAACTTGTTGTGTACTGGGAAGGTTAGTTGATGGTATCTACTTTGTGGTTTCCCATCTCTTGTACAGTAAGGCATTCCATTGGCTCTTGCGTGCTCCTTTTATTAGCCTTCGAGTATGTCGTACGTAATTCTCCAAGCCTTCCTACCTCACCGAATGCATATTTGCATTTCTGAATGTATTTGTTGTGCCTTCCATCAATTTTTTATTAAGACGAGTGCCTGAATATAACTTTGCCAAATGTGCATTTCGGAGCCTTTCTCCAAAATGGCGTAATTACGTGGAGGCTTGTTCAGGTCAGGTCGGTTCTGTCTATTGGCCATGGCACTTAGGTGACTCAGTGCCCTTAGACTTCTACCACCCTCCCTCCGCATTCCCAGTTGCTCACGCAAGCGTGAGCCGTCGATCTAATTTTGAAGTAGTATTTTTCCTCCCTTTTCCGTTCATTTTCTTATGATCTTAGACCGTCACTTTTACTAAACCAAGACTGATTCGAATTTATCATCTTTTGTTAAATATCACGAAGCCAGCGATATCCGTCATTATGGCATTTGCTTAACACTGTCTTCAGTAAGTGTGGCGCAACCAATTTATCGAAAGGAAGTAGTTCACTCAGCTGTTATCACTTGGACGACCAACATAGTTATGCAGTTGGTTTTGTGTGACTCGGTTATTGTGCACGAAACGTTTTCCCTTTATCATCCCTTGCAGTAAGTGTATTTTCATTGATATTGGGAGTTTAGCGACTTTCGCGCACGGATTTTTGGTTGTCCGTACATTGTTTTAAACTTCGATCAGCTTTTTGGTGGTCTGATGCGTTGCTTGGTTGGTTGACTGGCCAGCCAGTTGTGGGCGCGCTTCCACTTAACCGTGTTCTTTTTTGGACACGGAAGCAAGAGCATTGCACGCCTAGTCAGGCAGCCTCGTTTTTCTCACTGAACCACTTGTATTCAAGATATCTATTTTCCTCTCCAATGTCACACACACTTTCCCTCCCCTACTAGTAATTTGCTGCTTATTTAAGCTGCGCTCTCAGTTAACATTCGCCTCTACGCTTTGTTGCGTCATTCACCCTCATTCATTTGCATGTGGCTCTTCGAAACCCCTTGCATCTTAGTTTGAGCCGTTAGTAATTAACCGTTATGTCTTGGTTCATAATCTTCTGAATCGCCGTAATTCGAAAATATTTCGGGTATGGGAATCACCATTGATTTCTCCACTTTGTATGCGCGATTGCAGAACACCAACAGGTTAACATTCTTATGAGTTTATCGTAACCATCACTATAGGATGCCATGTGATTAGCATAATCATACACTAGCGCATTTTTCATCTATCATTCATGGATATATACTTTTATAAATCAGTCTATTTTCGAAAAAAAAAAACGTATATCAGCTCACACTACGAAAGATCTTGAAGTATTTTTTTGTCCAAAGAATGTAAATAATGGTCTGCTTTCTTGATCCATGTCATTATTTTGTACAATCTCCTTATTACATATTCTGATTTCCGTTCTTTTTTACAATTTTTGTGCAGGATGCTTCTAATTCCTTCATAGGTCGACTTCTACCAACCAAAGGGATTTTTTGGCTTTTTGAGTTCCAACTGGATTTTTGCGTTTTAGTTGTGGAGATTAAATGTATAAAGTCATAACTGCATCTGTCCATTGAGGAGGGCATTACTGCCTTGTGCATGGTCATAGATATTCAATTTGATGTACCCTGTGTGTTTCTGCTAGCATTGTTGACACTGAAAAGCCTTCAGTATGGCACACTACGTGGTCACTGGTTGCTTTTGTTTTCAAAATACCTATCAATCATTTACAATTCCCTCTTAAGGGTAATTTTAGGACTGCTTTTCTTGAGGACCGGAATGCGAACTCACTATTTCCTAACCCATGAATATCACCAACCTACTCACGGCGAAAGAAGGGGTTATTTATGAGTATTTTATTTATTCACAAATGTCTTATGGTCAACGTCATCGCATATTAATAACGTGCCGTTTTCTTTACTATTTCGCCTTTAAAATTCGGACTTCATGAAGTTTGTGAGTTATGCTTGTGAGCGAAGAACATTCATTATAGCTCGTTTTCTTAAATTGTAGCCTACATTAATTACTCCTTGAATATATGGTTTTTGTACGCGCATTGCATCCCTCTACCAATAATTTTCGTACCATAGATACTTTATGCAAATTTAATACGTCCTTCCACAAATGGTATCCCAAACACTATCATATGTGATGGTAGTATTACGGCAGCATTGTGTTTGAATATCAGACCGATGGGACAGCTCTGCTATCTTAATGCTGCATGTCTTTGTTCGTCGGGAGTTTTGAAATTGTCAATGACTAGGCTACTCGCTTTGAGGAACTGCACATCGGGAAGGCTCAATGACTTAATTTGTTGATTGGAATTATGAATTGCAAGCATATGCACGTTTACGTGAGTCTGTCATAGGATCCTGCCCCTTAGCTCCGTAGGTTATGGTTCTGGCAACTAGCTTGATCGATGGACGCGTTTGCGCGTTTGTTGTGTTTGAGATGCATTCCAATCATACGGTTGGTGGACTTGAGTTTGTGTGCCTGCACACCCGTTTGCGACTACCAATGGCTGCTTGGCATGCTTGGCACGCTTGGTGAAAGCGTCACGCCCTCACGAATTCTGCGAGATTAGTTTCGTGTGAAAACGGCAGGAAAAGCAGTAATTGGATCTACTTGTAGTCTTACCTCCTTAAATACCACTCTGATTGCGTATGGAATCTGGAGAGGACCAAGTAGATGTCATTGATCAGGCATTTCCTCCGTAATCCACCTCACAGTGATAGGTTTTAGTTATCTTCCGACATGAAAATGTTCGCTTTTAAAACGTCGTATCGTATCTTGTCGATGACATCAAGTGATCTTCCTTTTCTTGGTGGTTTTTGAACCCTCGCGCCACTTAGCGGATTTCGCGTCGGTTCCTAACTGTTTTCGTTGTCCGCTCATCATGATGAAAGTAGTACTTGAAGACTCAAGAATTTTGTCTTCTGCAACTTGTCTACGCAAATTCAGCTTGCTGCTTCTAATTTCGCTCTACAATGAGAGTATGATGTCACGTTCTCTAAAGTTAGTATGCGTCCTGTCATTTCAAATGACTTGCTTGGAAGAAGAATATCTGACAGAGGCTCATCCCTTTTAGGCGAATCCTGGTGAGAATTTGCTAGGACAACCATCGCCTGACTGCATAGGGAAGAAGTGTCTTGTTCTTGATCTTGACGAGACACTGGTGCACAGCTCTTTCAAGGTGAGCTCTTGCTCTCTTACCTTCCCTCCCCCATTGCACTTGAAGTGGATTTTTCGCTCCGTGCAACTTAATGGCTGCTTTATGCTTTGTGGTCTTCATACATAAAACAAACTCTTAATTTATCAACGATAAAAGAGCTCATTTTTGACCAGGCGATATTAGGAACAACTCATGGACTGATATTGAGTTTGGAGCTTTTATGAAGATGTGCCGATTGTTTCGGTGGGTTATCTCCACTGCCACTAGACTTGTGTGAGTAGTGCATGTTCATCGTTCGCCTCAATTGTACAATTTTTATGACATTTGAATGTTTCCAATGCTCCAGACTCTGTCAATAGGGCCGCTTCACTTGAGGACCTTTTTCTCATGCGCCTCGGAGTAATTTTACCAATTTTATGCTTTTCGCATAGGCTTCTAAAGCTCTCTACCTTTCTTTTTCAACTACGATCGGATTTTGTTATTTTCGCCCGTGTGCTCGTTTCGATGTGACTTATTCCGCCCTGGTGTTGGATAACTTATGAGCAGAATGTAGTCTATCCGCTGACTTGTTCCTCAGTCAAAGTCAATGTTTAATCTCATCAGATTTTTCAATTTACTCATGTTACTCATGTACTGGTGGTCGATAAAGTGGAAAATTATCAAATATTACGACTTCCGTCTTTTTATGTAGGACTTTCAGCCTGCTTAGGCTAAGTTTGTCCCCACTCTGCAACCAACTATCATCCTAGAGTGTCTGGGTGGATTAAACTTTTCAAGACTTCCTACTCTACTAAAACATCTTTTGAATAATCCTCTTTTTAGCCTGTGGAAAATGCTGACTTCACCGTGACAGTAGAAGTTGAGAATGTTCAGCACGAGGTGGGTTTAGTTGTTTCGGTGCATTTATCAGCTTCCAAATGTTTCCCTTAGTACATCATCGCCTAATAAATGCCATTGGCAGTGCAAAGATCCACTACGTTTCTGTTATCGACACAACCCATGTTGATAGTTATTATCATTTTCGAATTTAATTTGCTCCTTCTGGAGAGTACAAATGATTACAACCCCTGTTCAGTTGACTTTTTGCTTTAGAGCAGGCACAGGGAGCTCAAGCAACTCTGATGCGTAACTTGAATGTGTTTGTATGCTTGTTTGCTTGTCTGCTTGCTTTACGACTCGCGCTCTCTACTAAAATCGCGTGGTAATACATGTTAGTATCTAGTTGGTGTATTCAATTGCTTTTGGACATAGCGTTTGCCAAGCTTTACTATTCCAACCTTCTGTATACATTCCTCGCTGGTGCGTAATTCAAATTGATGGGTTTAAGGTGACACATTCACCAATACTGCTTTTGTACTTTGCTGATGATAGTTAGTCTATTTCATTCTATAGTGCTTTCAGATTTGAAATTTTTAGGTAAAAGCATTGTTTTTTTTTAATAAGTGTCAATACTAACCTAATTAGGATAGTACATGAACGTTCTGTGATAAACACTGCATTGGTGAAGTTTACCAGTCCATTGCATTTCTGGGTATGAAAGATTTTAAACTGCAATAATGGTTTTAGAACGTAATGGCAACCCAATCTGGTATCGGCTCATAATTTTCTATTTTTACCACTCTGGAAATGACAAGCTTATATAACCAAGTCGTCAAGTTTATTTGGCTCTCTAGGTGTCGGTTTGCAAGCGGCCACATTTGGAGACCTTCATCGAGACAATTGGTCCTCTGTTTGAGATGGTTATGTTTACGGCAAGCCTCAGCAAGGTAAAATGTTTCCATATTTTCCACAAAAAATATTTGTTCACTACAGCAATATTACACTTGCATTACGTTATTACATTTAGCTACTCTTTGTGACCTGTGGTAAAACAGCAAGTAGTGACCTCAAACACTTGTTTCCTGATGCATCAGAGTATGCTGCACAATGGGTGACTGAAAGCCATTACTGTTTCGTTATTTGATTATAGTTGCAGAATTGTAGGAGTGATTGGGGAAAGTTACTTTCTGTTACTCAGATTCCAAATTCATTCCCCTCCGTCAGTGCTACACTAATCATCAATGCTTCCACTAGTGAAATAGTTAGACTCATCAGAACGCCTACCTCTGATTACCTGCTGTTCATATGCTCTTTTATCCGACAAATGAACTTACCGAACATTTTCCAACTTCTTTGTTTAGCTCTTGCATGATTTGCCGAGGGACATGTGTGTTGTTATGAGGACTACTTCATGCAATTTACCCGTAGACTTCTAATATACCATTGCACGTATACTCACCACACTGTAGTGTAATTATTCAAACGGGTTTAGCAGCTAGATTGTGGAATTAGGTGGCTTACTTTTCGATCTTTCAGTATGCGGACCCCGTTTGCGATCGTATTGACCCATCGGGCCATTTCAAACATCGACTTTTCCGGGAGTCATGCGTATGCTTAAAAAGCAACTACATTAAACACCTCGACGTCCTGGGTCGGGACATCGAACAAATTTGTATTATAGACAACTCTCCCATCTCCTTCTACTTTCATCGACAAAATGCGGTATGCTTGCGGCCTTTGCAATCTTATGCAATTTCCGTTGCCACGGTTATGAGTATTTCGGTATAGGACTTATTAACTTGTCTGAATCGATGAGATGTTAGCTGACATGCTTTTGATTTACAACGTTTATTAAAGTGCTATCCAAGACCAGGTAAAATAGACATTTTGACGTAATTTGTCATATCGAATCACCGTCTGTGGTGCGTTGAGGCTTTGCTGAAGGTGAAAGAAGACTACTTGGACAGAATATACATGTTCAGTGCATAGAAATGGGTTTAAGCTGCTGGAATAGCCTAGATGCCAGCCTATTCTGCGAAGGTGCAACGCTAAATCACGTCACCCTTACACCAAACAGTAGGCGAACAAACAAATGCGTTACGTCTCCTCAGTAGGTTCATCAGCTATGGCGATTCGGCGTCTCCGAGACTCATATACGACATTTGTTGCATCTGGCGTTGTTGTTGTCCCCAGCGTTCACATGTTTGCAATTCTGCTGCTTCTAATTAATAAAAGTAGCAAGCAATTAAATCCAACCATCAGCTCCTCACCTCCCACTGCGGTACGTGTACGTTGTGTATGCTGACGTGTGCGCAATTACCCACAGGCGTTCCGCAGTTAAAATGCATGATCTTTGATGACCACTGGCGCCTCTCTAATATCGACGACACCTCTAATTGGCACGGAGGTAGCTAATTCGCCTTAATTTGGTGTGTTTACATCACGTTTTTACTTAGTTGATGCGTCAGAAAGTTGAACTCGAAGTAGAAATGTGTTCTGCTTTTCACAGCTACAAATTGTCACATGGTTCGATGATCCGAAAGACACGGCATTGCTGGATCTCATCCCCTACCTCAAGGGTCTGGCTGAGGCACCTAGTGTTCTTGAATACGTCTCGCAATTCGCACCTCCACCGAGTGCAGCTATTGCGCAGCCTGATCTCTCCCCATGGCTCTTTGGCGCCTCTGGTTTGTGGGGTGGGAGCTGGAGTGGCTACAATGACGACGAGGAAGAGGAGGAAGACGCCGAAGTTCTCCATGATGGCTTTCACGGCTCTCAGCAAGGATGCCAGGATGGTGAGAGAGGTCTTGCCTCTCCACGCGACATTATCGCCATGGCGTCAAGACCTACGGGTGAGGTCGTTACGGCAACCTAGGAAGAAAACATCGCCATCAGTGGGCAATCAAGTCTTCCATTCACACCCTCTAGCATCTTTCAACTTGCTCAATTGTAGTATGAGATTGTTCAAAGCAGTTTTTTTTCTATCTGTGATGCTGATGATGTACTGTTGGTGATGGCAATGCTCTACTCGCGCAGTCCCTGTACACATCTATAAATATACATATTTTTACTCCCACGCTACCATGCTCAATACTTCCCTCCCTCTGTCCCTTCTCTGTTAATTTTTATCTCCACCTACCTGTAACAAACATTTTTACCCTTAAAAGTCTTTATATTCCCGAAGTGAGTTTGTCTTTCATTTTTGTTGGTTGAATTTCGCCTAGCCGCGTCTCTGCACGCACTCACGCGCATCTGCAATTTTACATTTTCTCTAAAGGCCGTCTCCTTCCCTGAATAACATCTTGTCCTTAATGTATGTGTACATTGTATAATGAACCGTCTGAGGACTTGTTGCCCTTTACTATGGCTTTCCTTACGTTCTTTTGCCAAATAGTGTTTGGTTGAGTGTATCCCTTACTCTTAACCTCGTATTCTCCCTAAACCCATCTCACTTGTCTTCAAAACTGCGAAGATTGGCAGAAAATAAACCTGAAGTTTCATACCTTAACCCTTCCATAATCAAATGAACGAATCTGACAGTCTCAACCTGAGTTTAATTAGACCGCACATGGATTATTGCTGCTACTTGTCAACCCAAAATGAAAGTTTAGTACGATTGATAGGTATTTCCTTCTATCCATTAATGTAAACTGGGGCCGCTTGTCAGTTGAAAAAGAAATAGATGCATTTTTCGACCGTTTTCATTTTCAACCACAGTCTGCCATGCCAAGACAATCCTTAATATTGGCAAATATTGTGCAAACTTACCATGCACCGAGGAAACAGCACATTTGATTCGAGATATCTTTGATCGTAGAGCTTGACGATTCCACAGCTTATATGGTGTAGTGCCACGATAAGCCATACGAGCACCGGATTATGGGTAAACAAATTTGTCAAGTCGATACGCATGGTTGACAAGCCCCCTCGACGCATGGCATGAAGATTAGTGCGCAGATGGTGAATGGCGTTGCCGCGACTGCAAACGTATTCATAAAATGACGTTGATTCAGCCTAATCCCATAGACTCATATCTGTTTCTCCAAGACCGCCCAACATGTACTCATCGAGTACGCATACAGTGATTAAGAAAATTTCTGCGTGCAAACTACCGCACTCTCCATTTGAATCGCTAGCTCACCTTCGAATTCACAAATGAATGAACTTCTGCCGTACATGTAAAAATCACCCTCTTTACATTCAAATGGGATAGTTTAAAGGTAGATTGAAGGTGAATTGACTGGTGCTTTACTAAAAACATTTTTATAAAAATATGAGAGGATCACTTTGAGTCAGGTCAAATCTGGAGGTTTTGCCTCGATCAGTCGATTTGCGGCAGCCCGAGCAATGGCTGTCTCCCGCACGCCCCAAATAGAGCCCGACAGCTGGACCTTGTAGTATTCACCAATGAACTTCTGACAACAGCGAACTGTGCCGCTTCGATGAACTACGTCAATCACGGCCGGCCGCTCAACTGATCCTGGTCAGTGAAAGAATAACTTATCAAGAATTCATAAGTGCCGATTTAAGGTTACGCAAATAAGGGACAGTTGATCAAAGAAAAAAAATTGAGAGCACTGTTTTTGATTTAAACCCTTCTCAGAACACAAACAAACAAACAAACAGTGTGAGTGAAAAAATTTAACCATCTCAACATTTTAGTATGGCAACAGAAACTGTACTAGCAATGTTGCATTTGCTAAACATCCATACAAAATACAAATTGGGATGCAACCAGAGAAGGGCGTTACTTAAAAGCAATAAGAACTGGTGAAGGAAAAAAAGTGCATTAGAATATAGTTAGAGAAGTATGGACCTGAAATGAAATTGTTGCTCAAACTAACCCAAGTAATGTAGCCAGATTTCCGGAGTACAAGAAATCAATGCATAGAGACAACTCCACAGATATTTTCTGTTTGAAGTTGATGTGTTTTAAAAATAATTTAAAGCGAATGTAAGAGGCATGAGTTAAAATACAACAGCAACATAATCAAGTTAATCATTTGATGACCATTTAATAGACCTGACTAAACACAGATTAGTGAGGCATATCAATAGCAATTGATAAATCTCTATATGAACCAGAGAAAGTGGAAGACATCCATGAATGACGGTAAAAGCCAAGGGTGTGCCTTTGGAAGTTCACCTACCGTCGTATACCGAGGTGATGAGAGAGAGAGCAGAAGTCAACTGCTCGGTCGGAAGGCCACGAAGAACCCTGATGATGAGGAGGCCTGAAGATGTATTCCAGTAGATGATGCGAAATCGTGTCATTAAGCGACCGACACCAAAGGTGCCGTGAGCCGTCTGCACGGAACGCCGTATGGCCCTGTAGATCATCGTGTCGACGTCAGGAGAGGAGATGACGGATGTGGAAGAGGAGAGAGTGTGGCATCCAGGGTAGGCGGGACGATGGGTGACGCTGCGCGAGGCGCTGCCATCGAATGGAGCCCCCACTGACACTATCGATATGAGGTAGCGATACTTTATCCGAACCATCACAGAACTGGAGAGGCAAAATACACCTTATTCTTCAAGATATGAACATTGGCATTTTACAAATATTATACCCCGGATCGCCATGATTTAGCAGATTTAGCGCTTTTTCTAGCCTGTCGTCGTAATGCAAAAAAAAAACAACTTAGAAAAAGTGATAATATTTAACCAGGGTGAGGAAAGGACGCCCAAAGCATTCATTCCGCACTTTTTTGAGTTCGCTGTATCTACAAGATTAAATACAACTACAAGGGGGATAGTTTTCGGGTGGAAGATAATAGAAACCCGTAACAATATGGGTAGCCATTAAATCAGGTGAAGTTCGGTACATTGAATAGACATAAATGTTCATAACACAAGATGTTGAGAAGCATCAAACGTCCAAAACATACACAAAGGTAGTTACCTTCTAGAGACGTCAAAGAAAAGCTTAGTAGTCAGGCGACAAGAAAAAGAACCATTAGTCTAAAGTAGAATAAATTACTTTCAACCTTGCGCTTGTGACAACGTAATTGTTTTGTCAAAATAATGCTTCTTACAATCGTACATATTTTAATAAATGTGCAGTGCCAAGCAAATGCTACTTCGACTAACGTATTTTCATATTTAAGGCGGAGAGCACTTAAAATTCCATAACCACTCAAGATTCGCAAAACTACATAGCATTGTTTATTTCTCCCTATTCTATTAAGGTAAAGGATCTAGAGGCGCCCTCTATGGTATGATTTCGTCCGATTCATCAACTTAACAATGCTTCTTTGTTTTGGTACGTCAACGCTCTTTCCCGCATTTAAGCATTTACAAAATTCGTAGACTTAAACGTGTTATCTACAGCAACGGTACAGGAGAGCCGGTGTTTGGAGCAAACGCATATCCAGGTTAGCATAATAGGCAAGGCACACACCGCCAATGGTTCTAGTAAAGCCAAAACTATTTACTAATTTTGGCAGCAGCAGGGGGCCGATAGCCTAGATTTAACAAAAAGAGAGTATGAAACAGAGGTGCCACCCTGCTACTTAGCGAAATTCGAGGAGCGACAAGTGTATCCAGCCAGGACTCACAATAACGACATAAACAAAGAACGCCACTATGAAAAAATGCAGACAGGAACCCCAGCGATAAAAAGGGAAACACCATCGTGTTCTAAAAGCATCTTAGCTCGGCTGCATAACCGGTGCCATCCTCTTACAGATTTGGGTTTGAAGATGCATGAAACCAAGCAGGCAAACGATTGTAACTCGCTCAGATTATTGTGCTGCCTTGTCATCTGGATGAAGAACAGTAAAGACTGTCAAGCTAACTTCATAGCAGGATTACGTTTCATCAATTATTGATTGGATTAAAAATAACCAATGCATGAAAAATGAAGTGAAGGGCATAAAGTGAAAAACGATTCCATTTACTAATGCCTCGGTAACGTTCATTAATTATTTGTAAGTTTCAATCAGAATACAAAAGTGAAAAAAACGACGTCTTCCGGTCAGTGCTGCTATGTTGCGAATCGAAGATCAATACAAAGAAAGGTTCAGTGTTGACGACTAGTCTATGTTGATCAAAGCATGGAAACGAAAAAAGTTAGTAAAATACTTGTAATAAGGGAGGTACCAATGCATTCTCAGAAAAACACTGTGTCAAAAATTATACATCATGCAAAATTCGACCGAATTTTCATAACCAATTTCATGAAAAGGATAAAAGAAGGGTGGAGTGAGTAAGCCCGATCAGCGTCGAAAAACTAACTTGAAAGATTTGTGAAAAATTTTACGACCATAACAATCGTGATTTGAAATACGGTGATTTTCATCCCATGATTTGATATTTACAGCTCTTACCAAAGAAAACCGAAGAACTACGTCATCATGGTAAGTGAATGAAGTAACTTGTCGCGTGTTCAAAATAATGATTTTGAAAATAGGGAGGCATACTAATAACCGCACAATGCGAGATGAAATACTGGTTGAAAAATGTACTGAATACTTGTCAGGGAGGAAAGGTGGTGGAGGCTCATAATTTAACGTGAGACTAGAAACAACAACCATTATCGATCTGGACCGTCTTTAGTTCTGTCGAAAGCACAAACACTTCGAGTACTTTGATCAAAACGAGACGATCAGAAAACAAAGTATAATCCCAATAACTGCTTTTACAATGTCAAAGCATCACATTTTTTGACACAAGGCAGCAAAGTTCTGCAAGTAAAAAAACCACACGTACACAGGCCACTTAGCCTATCCTAAAGAGCTTTTGTAGGCACATTTACTGACATGGCCAACGTAAACCGCCATAAATCTCTGCTATCACAACCTGAAGCAATGCATGCGGTGCTTCAATCACTTTTTTCTCAACATCACAAAGCGCGTGAATTTAGAGGCTGGAACCGCATGTTCACAATCACGGTAGGCTTTGGTACCGATAAACCAGATGAATGAAAAACGCATAGCCTAACTCTAAACGCCTATGATTAAAAGTGCTAAATTCTTACCCATCACGAAACACAAAATACCGCAATGGTTGTACAAAAACGATCGACTGTACCAAAGGCTAGCTTTAGGTCAAAATCATGGCAACCTTGGAGAGTCCTCAGAGAGCAAAGATAATACGAATGGCAAATAAGTCATGCAATAAGAACACGACCGTTGACAGCGGATTACGCAAATTGCACAACACAATAACCAATACTGAGATAAGGTGAAGCCAGGATACGCACAAAATAAATATTCATCCAAATCAGTTCAATAGTGTTCGGATTTAAAAATTTGGGAGATATGCGAACTACCCAGTAGAAAAAGTGTAGAAGTGAAAATAAAAGTAGGAGCTGTAGTCGTGCTCACAGATGAAAAACGAGCTTCGCCCATGGATGTGAATTTTGTATTAAAAAATGAAAACGCGTCGACGCAACCGTGATTTAACACAAATGTTGGTAATGGGGTTGTTTTTGAACCCACCGCGAGTCGTATCAAACGTATGAATGCAAAGAAAGATGTCTTTATAAGATCGGAAAAATTCTATGAACAATCGACTTTGCTATATGCATAGTAAAGATATAGGCGATGGTGTAACCAGGGAAAGCGTCCACTCCCACAAAACAAATTCGCATATAGTCAAGCAAGCTGGCAAACATACACATAACCTTGAGAACTGCCCACGACATAAAAAATTTTATAACATATTTGGAAGGATAGGAAGTCATGCATGCGTGTATGTGGGTACGGATGTCTGTGTAAAGCGAAGATAGAGCATGAACTAAAGGTAACTGGTGGAGGATTCGCGCAGAGAAAGACCTCGGTGTCTCAATTCATCGAACTAGATCATGCTATCAGCAGCCAGATAATAAAGAATATTGCAATTCCAAGGAAGAGCTTTGAGAGAGCTTCAGCTTCGGCCTGGTTATTGTTCTGCCCATCTCCATTCCCTGCACCACCGCCACCACCGATATTGAATGTAGTCGCGAAGAGACCGAAGGGGAAGGGACCGAAACCGAAGGAGACCTGTAAATTGCCTCCACTACCCTCACCCTCTTCCCTGGCATTTCCCCCAAAGATGTTACTAAACGCACTAAAGGGCGATTCCTAAAACCAAGTGGAAGGCGGTTACAACTTGCACACAAACAAGGAGTGGAAAAATACTAAAGATTCGAACTCACTCTTTGGGATTCAGGCTCCGTTCTCACTCCTTGTGGCCTCGGGGGAACCTTATCACGAGGATCCCGCTTATGGTCAGCTCCCCTCCCATAAAGAGGAATTACCTAAAATGCAGAAATAGAAACAGTCCAAATTTAACCCTAAGTTATTAAAGCCTTTGAGAGATCTGAACCAGAAGAAGAATCTCAAAGCGATCAAAATGTGTACAAGCAGTTGAAAAGAAACCATTACAAGTATTCCCAACTCGGTGCCGCCATTGGTCCCAACTTCGTTGCTAAGACAGGCACTCAAAACTGTGCAAAGCTATTTACCTAGCAATATAAATGCTTTCTTACCGAGTCGCGACTGACGGCAGCCTTGCAAACGGGACACACAGGTCTAGACTTTTTCACCTCCAACCACTGATGAAGGCAGGGCCAACAGAAGAGGTGACCACAACGACTTACGACGGCGTCCTGAGCTTGATCTAGGCAGATATTGCACTCGAAACTGCCGTTAGTGTTGTCACTTGATGAAGATGATTGTGGTGGGGGTTGAGATCCCGATGGATCTGAGTCATTAGAACCCTCCTGCCTCGCTCGACGCTGTCCTGTGGCGGATTTATCGGCGGAAGAGGATGTAACACCGCCGCCATCCATTTATTGCCGTTTATATCCTATTGAACAAGTATATGCTAAAACAGAATTAAGTTTGTTGAAATGCCATTTGAAAGACTACGATCTGATAGACTCAATTAGATCGATTTCGAATCGTAATGCACGAAAATCACCAATTAGATCAAGTAGAACTAGAATACACGGTGTATAATCTATCAAGTAGTGCAACTTATAACAAATAAGAAACAAAATTCAGTAACTCAAAACGATTATACTCAATGAGGTAAGACTAACATGCATACATGCACACATACATACATACACACCAAAACTCAATATGAAAATCGACCAGTTCATTTTATTTTTGCATTCGAAGACTGCGTTGAAGAAAAGACTAGCAAGTGCCAAATGTAGACGCGCATTTGGTAATAAAGGCTAAAACCGAGCGGAGTGGATTCAAAGAGCGGCCCAATGAGACCTCCAAAATCCGCAAAAAGCATTGTTAGTCTTCAAACGTGGTTGTGAAACAGCCAACTTCATTAAGGGCACCATCGAGCACTGATACCTTACGTTCACACCTCTCAAAGAGTTGTTTAAAGCCACAGGCCAAATCATCTGCCATTTCTATGTAGATCGATGGACACGTCTCTTCACTTTTGGGGTACCATGGGTAAAACTGCAGAAATGAAAAAAGTATATAAGAATAGCTCCACAGCAGGCGCCTGATTCACAATCACGGATACTCATTTTAACTCATGATACTAACGGCCCTAATGAAAGCTACTTCGCCTTTCAAATAAGGACTTCTGCTACCACGCCAGAAACAAGTTATTTCAGTCCTTATAGGGAGCCATTTCATACCTATCAACGTCATGTGATTTTAATTCAGATCTGTTTTAGCATGGCTGGCTTAAGGAGTGAATTAATTACGCAGACATTGAGAAAAGGAGTTCAATATTCAAGTGATCATTTGAGACCAATGGAGAATGGTGCTAGGTAGAGATACTAATGTCTGACCATTTCAATCAGTGCAAATGTAAAAGCATTTCAAATTCTATTGCTGTTTAAAACTTGAAGGTAGAGTAACAAATTAAATGCCTGTTTAAAAACAAGTATGGCAAGTCACCGCCTCCATTTGTTGAAAAGCAAATTAAAAGTGTTGCAAATACCATATACAAAGTTAGTGTTAACATTGTGCCAACATCAAAGACCTTGTCTTCCTCAGGTATTTTCGGTAGAACAGTTTGAGCAGCTTTCGTGGCCGTGGCAGCGAACGCTCTAGGTGCCATGTTGGTGATCCACGTAGCCCAATCAGCTGCCAATTTCTGCAAACTATTAGCCACATGCCGAAGTTGCGGAATGACCACGGAGTGAATCAACCCAGCCACTTGGTCAAGTTGAATTGCTGATGGTGAAGCAGCAACCGTTTCTATGCCCGCCTTGAGTTGCTGCTTCTTCTTGTTCTTCTTCGACCTGTTATGGAATGGCTGGTGCACCAATCTGAAAATGTGTACTTCTGGCTTAAAAGTAGAAATGTTGTACACAAGAAGGGGTTTTGCAAGGTGCAAACCTTCGAGGTCGCAACAGAGCAACAGCTGCCGTAACAAATAGAATGGCAATCGAAAGAGTCTCCATAGCGACTCCAAAGCCAACGAGAACAGAACTCGGATTCAGAAGCCCAACAAGAGAGGAGTCAGTTTTAGGAGGTGGAGGAAGAGAAGGGATACCGGAAGATTCACCAATGAATTGCAAAAGTGGTTCGCTGAAGCGCCGCGAGAATGCACACTTTTCCATATCTAGCGGTTCATCTTAAAAAGGTAGAAAGAGGAGATTAGTTCGTTTCATCCACAAACTGTGAGTAGTACAGTTAGTAATTACCTGAGGTACTGTCCAAAAGTCCCGTTAAATACTTGAGTAGATCAATTCCAGCTATTAGGGTTTGCGTGAAGGGGCCGTGTACGTAGAAAGATGTCATGTTCGTTTTAGGCAGAGGAGGAGGTGATATTAAAATTGCCTCTGGTGTAAGAAGAAGATTAGTATACTAAAACGAACGACAAATGTTGTTAAACTACTTCCTGAACAATAAAGCGAAGTAAGCTGAACAGCAAGCAATGACCTCATCCCGCCTTTAAATACAGAGTCACATCATTAAAGAGCTAGTAAAAACAGTGAGAACGAGGAAACGAACTATATTAAATCAGATCAATCAAATGGGGTGGAAGACACACCTCAAATTTGGTGCAATCGAATGCAGTGACAACTTCCATGACCTTCATTCGCGACATTAAATTATTCGTTTGATCCTCGATCATCTGCACTAGATCCTTTAGATCTTTTCGCGAGTCCTCGCTGAGTTCACCAGTACCGATTTGGTCGATGCATGGAACCGCTTTCATGACTAACTTCGAACAGACTCCGAAAAGATTGATTAAACCCAACCGAAGGTACAGCCAAGCACACTAAATGAGAACAAACTATGACCTGCAGAATCAAAGTGCTATTGTGAAGGTTTTTTGCAAATCTCTGAGCATGACCCGATCAATCAAACTCAGAAACATAAAATCACTTAGTTACGATTCAATGAGAATTAAACAAGCTGTTGATCTGGGTTTAAATTCAAAATTGCACTTGCCAAATGATCAAAACTTCGCTTTCGGTTTTCAAGATCTGGCTTTCGACTAAAATGTAAGAATAGCGCCAGAGTGATTAATGTATTGATGACCAAGAAGTGCAAGAGGCAGCTTACTGAGAGAATTCTGGAACAACAGAGAAGTCCCGATTATCGCAGGCATTGAGAAGTGCTTCCTTCACTATAAATGAGTTTGATAAAACTTCAATTTTTCCAGGCTCAAGTTGTAAGGTACGTGTTCTATGATAATTTTTACTTTGATTCGGATAGCAAACACACTATCGACAACAATTCCCGCCGACCATTCGACGATGAGCAATGAAACTTGTGCTAATTCTTACAATCTCATTAAGACCGCTGCATTTGGCCTAGTTCAAATACTCAATGCGGATGAAGCATCTTCGGAAATAGGCCTAAGATTAAAGAATGTAACTGTAACTGTAGTCAGGCGGCATCAACAAAATGCTTGCTTTGGTTAGAGTTAAAATAACTTACAATTTTAACACGGTGCCACTAACTGTTCAGTGCTAATACTCACCAGATGCCACTTCACTGTTGAAGTTGCCCACTTGCTCGAGTGCGTCATCGAAGCTGGAAAGGCGAGAAAAAATTTGATCCACGGAAATGACTTCGTATCATTTAGTACAAGTTCGGTCTCACTCAACGAACACGCTCCAACTCTTGACAATAGTTTAGACGGCGAGAAATACTTAAAGACCAAAACTGCATACATTTAGATTGGTGAAATCAGAGCGTCAATTGAAACCATAGAAAGTCCTATTCCGTGCAGATCAAAATTCTGATACGACACTTAAATATAGGTGTAGAAATGCGGAAAATATAATTCTAAATTAAAGTAATTGTCGTTACTAAGCCAATTTTGGCTAGAAACTATACCTATCAGGGGTGACAAGAACCTTGTGATAGATGAGTTCAGTTTGAGCAAGTAGCAGTGAGCCCGAATGCCCCAATTTATGAAGGAATTGGGTATACTCATGGATACGACTGAAAGCCTGACGTCGGTAAGCACACACGAGCCAATTCTCTGTTTCACGCTGAATGGACCGAATCTTAGTGACCATAGTCTGGTAAAATTTGAGTAAATTCACATTCAATTGATCCGGAAGGGCAGTAGATGGATGTTGGTTGCCGAAGATAGTCAAGATAGGCCCAGGAGCCATTGCAGCGTAGCTAAAGCAAAAAAATCAGGGCGGTTAAAATACGGTAATCACTAGCAAATATTAAATGATCCACAAATTGTTACGGTAAGCAAAAGTTTAGTCATTTGTTGTCCTTGGTTTTAAGTAGGTGAATTACTATTAGTTTACAATTAGCGATTTTTTAATAATCCCGGATTCTGCTAAGTGTCAAAGTGGTACAGTATGCATTCAGAACAATGGACACATTCATATTAGAAAGTAACGCCATCGCAAACAAACCCAATGGAAATATTGAGGGCCTCCTTCAAATTAAGAAGCGTCAGCTCCTTTAACTGGCGACCTGTACAAGCAAGGCCACCACCTGGTGAAAGGATAGAAGACAATTGAAGGCGCATAAAGTGGTTCGATGGAGAATAATTCAGCCCTATTTCTGCTAGCCAATAGACAGCAAGTAGAAGTCTTCCAAGAGAACTTTCGCAACGGCATGGCCCACCCACAGGATCCAGCAGCTCGGAAATTGCAAGCTGAAGAAGATTGTCAGCAGGTGCTATCTCCTTAGAATCACTTCGCCTTGGTGTCTGAGTTTTTTTGGTATGCATTTGGTAGGCCGAGATAAGGTCCGTTAGGTTGAGAGGCAAACCGTTGGTTCGTGCCAGACGATAAGCACACACTTCACAGTGAACACGTTCGTCATCATTAAGGGGCTAAAAAAATCAAAAAGATAGCCCTGATCCACGAAATCGTATGATAAATCAAAAACTAATGTAGTGAGTAGTTGTAGGTGATCGAAGTGGAGGTACTGGAGAATAATGCTCCAAATAAAAGGACAGTTGTATTGCTGTATTAAATAAGTTGCACAAATGCGTAGTAGATTTGGATTTTCAGGGTATAACAATATCAGAATAAGTGAAGTCAGTGTAGCTCTTATAGGCCGACTGACTAACTCACCTTACAAAATCAGCTAGCTGTGAAGTGCAACATACAAGATACCAAGTGCGTGATCACAGATACTAATATGGTGCCGATGCAAAAAAGATATTAAGGATACTCAATCCTTCTAGATTCATCTTATAATGCTCATTATACATTCATGAATATGATAATGAATATCAACTTAGTAATAAAGCGAAGTAACTTAGGGAGAAAAAGAAAGGTATTCTCAATGAAATAAGGAATAATCGTTAAGAGTATAACTCACTGACGATATATATTTGTCGCGAATTCCTTCTAAAAGGGACCCTATGAACTGATAAAAGTATAATATTAATACTAGTCGAAGATTACCTTAAAAAAGCAATACTATGTTGCATTGAAAATAAGGTTGTAGGCGATGAAGAGAGTAAGCTACAAGTCGACAATTGCCATAACAATAACAATAACCTAACGGAACAAGATGGATATCGGTAAAAGAGGAACCTTACACTGAGACGGCTTTCTTCGGATTTGATTAGAAGTGGTAAAACGTAGGACAAATCCAAGGAGCCTATCGGTTTCCGACCATGCTTAGCAAAATATTCATTTGCGAGGTTAACGCAAAAAGACTCCTCCGCATTAGGATGCTGAATTCCACGTTTGATGAGATTTGCGGAAAAATCGATCAAGGCAAGATAGGGACCACGACAATTTGGCGATTGCTTTACAAACCGGTCTATTAGTGAAAGCAAAACGTTCGTCCTGAAAACGCAAAGTCGATAAAAAAATCAAGAAAATTACGATTGCGTCAAATCCGATCTAAAATATCAAAGCGGCACTTCAATCCAAGGCTAGAGATAGACACAAAGGCAGTACTGAAAACTCATAAACAAAAAATCTGACGAAAAATTACCTTTCTTCATCGCGAAATCCGTGTAACAATAATGTTCTCCAGGCAGACCAATTGTCGGAATCCTTTTCCAACATACCCGTCGCAATTCGCAACATTTCAGACCAATTCCCAAGTTCAGCGTTCAGTTCCAGAAGGTAATCTGAATAGTCATGCTGATAATCTTGCTCGTTAATTTTTTCTAGAAGAAATAAGTCAACCCATTTAGAAATGCTATACAAAGACGCAGGAATTACACCAAGAAACCAGAAATGGCCAAAAAATGGAAGGAAACGCAACAAACCTACCCATAAAACTTCTGTCGGCTAAGAGATCCAGGGCCTTGGAATATTTGCCCGTTCTTTTAAGTATTGAGATGTAAAAAGTAAGGTCCTTATGTGAACGAAAGTATCCCTCACTCAAAGCCTTCTCTAAAATGCGTTCAGCTAGTGGAAGAAACATGCGCTTGGCCAAAACTGCATCCTTTTCACCCTGCAGCACTGTACTTAGGGCCATCCAAAATCGGAATCCTCGGTCCTTAGGATTATGTTGGTGCAGCTTGCGAGCGATTGCTTGTTGAGCACTGAAATCGCATTTACGTACATGAACGAAAAACAAGCACACAAGGAGGTCCTCATTGTCAGGGAACTTCTCCAAAGCAGTCGTAAGGTATGTTTGAAGAATCTCCTCTGAAGTTGTGCATTAAGAACAGTCCTCACGATACCTTTATTCAGCTCCCTGAAAAAGGTTGACATAAAGTTCAGAGTATCCCGATCTGTATGGGTCTCGCCCATAATTGAGCTCATAATTTCATATGCTTCTGTTATCTTAGCAGTTCTCATAAGAATAAGGGCCTTCAAAGCCTGCAACGCGATTAATAAAAACTGCTTACATTCGCGGAAGGCGACTTGGGGTTCTTTTTGATAAATTTGTTAACTTCAACAAGCGCACGTCTAGTATTCCTACTTTCAAGAAAGGCTTTGAGGTGTTAACATTACCCCTGGAACCTACCAAACGCATCACGCAGCCTCTCCTCATTGGACTCTAGATCTGAGTACATTTTGTCGAAGTACGCACACACGCAGCATCAAACGCACGAATTCAAGTGGACAATGCGAACTTCTGTGACTCAGGGCCTTGTCGAATTAACACCCTACGTAAACGTAATAAAGACGCATAAAATTACTTCTTCTGCCGAAAATTTGTTTTTAAGGCATTAAGACTTCAATCGCAAAGTCTAAATTTGTAACGCTAGTGGCCTATGGGCAGAACTTCAGTTATTTAAGATTAGTTCCTTGCCGACGAAAATTACGAAATCTTCGATGAAAATGCATGCGTTTTGTAATTCCTTAAGTGTCATTATATCTTCTTTATGTGTGTCTATCCTTAGCTGACCATTAGCCGTCGAAGACGGCGTGTTACGGCTTCACTTAGCCTGGGGCGTTGTACAGTGTGTCAAAACTGCGGGACGCGCCACAGCCCTCGGGTGTTAGATCTGTGAGTAGCAACATTTCCCTTGTGCCTCATTCATTATTGAGATTGCAAAATCTTAATCTGGTTCAGCCTGTCAGTGCATGTGTGTCCTGTGTGGCTGCCGTGACTGGCAGGTGCGTCAAAGCTTTCCATTACTGGAATTCAACTAAAGTTAGAACCCCATGTAGAAATAACTTAGCTTGTATGGGAAAGTTTCTCCAGGAAAGGCTGACATTTTTCCATAAATAGATGGTGAAGTGCTGTACTAGACATTTTTAAGAAACCCTATTTTAGGATTAACCGGAGATATTTGAATGGCAGAGGGATCCAAGAGATTAATTAAATGCAGGCCTTCTGGTTTTGTTTCCCGCGATTGGCAAGCTTCACGCATCAGGTATGCATATTTTGCGATTATGTTATCATCTAGAGCTGTATTCTACAACTAGGTAAATCTTTTAAGAGTTTCTCATTTCGCATTCTAAGTGTTCTCTGTGTACTTTCTCCCTTTTTCAATTATCTGGAATATAAAACTGTTCCACACCTAGGTAACGTTTTTGATTTTGTGTAGCATGCATGTCGTTTCTTAATCCCTGATTGAGCCTAGTGCACTTATCGTTATTTCAATGTGGAACACCGCCTAACAGGTTTACGCATAATGAAATTGAACGCAAACGTCGTGCCCGTTTGAAGTCGGAAACTGATTTCCTCCATCAGCAGCTTCCGAATGCTGTGTACCGAGACAAACTTGCAGTCTTTAAAGCCGGTACCGAGCTATTAATGCGCTACTCAAGTGAGCTTTGCATGTCTGGTCGCTACATTTGTAGCTTATCTATGCATCACTTCTTTGTTATGGTTAATATTGGACTATTTGTGGGCTCCTTTCTTCTTTGTGAAGATTCAAATGGCTCGGAAGCGCGAAACCTTATTCTCACCGATAATGAATATTCGGAGTGCATATTAAACGTAGGGTTGGTCAAATTATCTACTGTTTACTTTAACCTGACTTAACCACTGATTTCAATATTTCTGCATGTTTTTCGTACTATTTATGCAGGAATCTGTGTTCCCTGATCAATATGTGCGTTTTTTTTGTAACTGCTAGTTCCTGGTCATGTTTACTTTTTTTAACCTGCAGAACTTCGACGGCTTCGGCATGCGCATACGGTGTAGTGATGCCATGATTTTGATGGCGACGAAAAACTTGGAACATTACCTCGATTCTGATCTTGCAAGTTTTTGTTCTTATTTTTCTAGTTAACTACCCTCCCCTGTACTATCCCAAACCAATGCCATTTCAAGTCGAAATCTCATTGTGCAATGCTTTGTTTCACATCATTGCTATTGTGACCCATTTGTAGATTTATTTCATGTTTTTAGCACCTTGGAGGTCCAATTCATTCACTTGTCCTTCTATTCGTAAAACGTAGAAAAGTAAACATGGAGTACTACCAGTGGCTATTTCACACGAATCCACACATTTCTTGCTCAGTCTATACGTCCATACCATCAGCTGGGTACTATTTTGACAATTTAGGCTAATTTAAAAGGAAAAACGCTGACCGAACTGATTTCTCCAAGTGAATTGACGGAAGGAATTATTAGGAACAATCTTTCTTTGTCTTCTGAAGAGCAGGAGCAACTGGCGAGTGGGCGTAAGTTCCAGCTGAGATTATATCAGTTATAAATGAGTGGTAGACATATTTGCATCTTTCATTATTTCTACAATTTTTATCCAAACGGGACCGTGAAAGCTTCTAAGGCTACCCTTTAGCCTTTGATGTTTCTCCATTTGTCGTTGCAGATCATGTTCCTTTTTCTCAATTCACAGTGACTCGGACGCCGTTGGCTGGCGATATTGGACTGAGTATTCTCGATTCATCGTTTATTAGCGGTCTTTGATAAAGGCACTAATGTACAACTGCAGCCTTAGAATTTTTTGAATAGACATGCCTAATGATGGGTCAATTGACATAACTAGTGTCAATTTCAGAACCCATCGCTCGCAATTTTATACTTCCAATCATCAACGTGTCTAAGCCTCCCGTCGATTCGTCCAAGGCAGGCCACTATCTCTTGGAATGCTGTGGCGATATCGGTCTGTTGGCGTAAATTTTTAATCGAAAAACGTAACTTTACAGTGCTGAAACCATTCAGTTGCATTTACACTTTATGATGGGAACGAAAACTAACAGTAGATTTCTGATCGAGAGGCATGTGACTTTATTTGATGTATGCTCCAGTTTCGTCGTCATGCTCCAATCAGAACGAGAATGAGCTTGTGCTGCAGGCCATTTGCCGCGTCCTAGAACAACACCCTTCCAGTCGGACGGTGCCCAGGAGCAAACTCTTTTCATTACGACTTAAGCCCGATTCGCACTTAATAGTGGAGCTGCATGGCCAGTGAGTTCCATTCTGTTGCTACATAAAGTGAGCCTGTACAGATTGTAGCATATCTTAAGTTGTCTCGCCTGAAAGCTATCGAATGTACACAGTAAAGGGCAACAGATATCTGTTATAATATTGGGCTGAGTCGCTGATCCATCTGCGTTTTCCCACTTCTAGGTCACTACCGGCCGGTATGTCATCGAGTGATATGATCGGTCGCTCCCTAGTTGATCTTACCTCACCGACTGCTAAATCTGTCGTAGAAAGTAATCTCCGTAGTGGTAAGTGGTGAATATTCAAGCTTGAGCGTGCCGATGTTATCGTGCCGTAATATAAGTTAAATTATTCACACCACTTCCGTTTGAGGTACAGCTGGCTTTCGATCACCCAGCTGTGGAGCTGGCCGCATACTCGGCTAGTCCAGAAACAGAATTGATTAGTCATTTGAAACATGCGTTCGTTAAATGCACCTATCTCGATTTCAGCGGAGCAAACTGGCGAAGCCACATTTACGATCTACATGGGGAATTGCGCTCTCAGTTCGGCTCCCGTGGACCGTTTCCTAGTCGTGACAAAGGCTATCATTGTTTGCAATTGCCTCTATTGTCTCGTAGCGGACTTCTATCCGCCTCAGCAATAATCTCTTCGTACCACATTATCCCTACCCTTCCACCGTGGCATTTTCTCACCTATTTCCTATACAATTAAAGCATGTGATTTTGCTCTAAACTGATCACTACGCTCAAGGGTACTGACTTTGCTGTTCTTCATTGTGATGGGCGTAGTGAATACATTTCAATGTTAGCAGTGTGATTCATCACGGATTTGCGGGATTATAGACATGTAGACCAGAGGGCACGAAGCTTACCTTTCAATTCCGGGCAAAAGCAATGCAAAGATGAGCGAATGCCAGTAGTCGGGATGACAAGGGTATTTCTTCTTCCTAGAGTAAGCTGTCGTATAAAAACGAGTAAGAATAGACGTTTGTAGTAGAGGTTGATAGGATATCATTGCTCCTGTGATTCCAATCCGAGGACCTCGGGGTTAAATCCAACGCTCCTCAGTAAGTCTGCTGGGTCTGGTCTTGGTTCAGTCATGTAATCCAACCATGACGCAAGGGCGGCACGGCCAGCAGCTTTGTACCTCGTAGTTGCGTCCCTTATGGTATTCACCCTATCCTAGTGTACACAACAGATGGGGGGGCAATGAAAGTTACCTCCTCATAAATCTTTAGGACTAGTTCGTACTTCCTCTTAATCTCCGCCTTATCGTCCAGCCGACTTCGAAGATTCCCCATCTAGACAATAAAAGTAAATGATAAGCCTCATTGCCGAACTGAGATTGCGTACTGTCCATTTCGCAATCCTGGAAGGAGATAGATTGGGCTAAGGATTTTACACAGTTAAGGTAGCTAGTGAGAACTGTTGGGAGTGACTTGTGTTTATCGAGAGGCATTCACTACTTAAGACAATTGGGAGGCTTGATGACAGTTCGAGACAGGGTACGCATAAAGATGTAAGAACTCAGTGCTGATAAATTTCACAGAACCGAATTGTACACGTTTCAGTTGACGAAATAGTCCTGATAAATGCCTGCCCAGAAAAAGACATGAAGTTACCAAAACGCTGTGCGCTGCAAAAAAAATTGACAAGTATTTAAAAGATGAACCAACAATCATACTATTAGTACTCCTTACCACTTGACGATTGCGATGCATGCTAAACTGGCACAGCTGCAAAAGCACAGTTGAAATTTCGACTACAACAAGAAGATGCAGAAAAGTGAACATACACACTCCAGAAGAAAGCTTCAAAAAAGGGAGAATAGAACGTTGGCGCAAGTAGAGACCAGCACTCTGTGAAAACGAGCCTCAACACCGCAGTAACTAAAAGATCAGCGAGTAATACACATGAGCCAAAAAATAAAGAATTGGTTCCATTTAAAATATATGTGCAATGAGAGTCCCAAAGCTTAATTGTATTTACGGAATTTATTTAAACCTAAAGATAATTCGCCTTAGCCCGCTAGAGTATTTTTATTAGCTTTAGAATCATATTTGGTTGTAAATGGAAACGGAAGGTTTGCAAAAAACGATTGAAATGCTTTGTTTACGTGACTACCTAACTTTCGGAGGTCACTATAGGGTTTGATTAGTCGTCGTGCTGATGGGTTGGCTTTTGGTCCATTTGCTCTATCCTCTTCGGAATGTATATATCCAGTCTCATTTAGCACCTTCTTCCACCCTATAGGAAGTCTCGGAAAGCTACAATGAATGTTGCTGTAATTCATTGGAATTTCTGTTTTAATCGGTCTCGTAGGCCCGGGCGAGGATATAATGACAAGTACTGTGCTGAGGAAAGATTTCGGCGGTTCTCGAGCTCTGCTTTGGATGTAATCATCTTCTTGCTTCATTGGTGTCGATTCTGCTCTTCGGTACTGTCAAGTAAAACGCCTGTAGGCAGATGGTCTTCTAAGGAAATCTCGGCGGAATTTGGTCGCTGCTGGCATGCACACATGATATAAAGGAGGGACATATGGGTTGGGTGGGAGAATTTCTGAGCTCTTCTCAACGGAAGAGTCGAGGATGATATTATCTTCTGGTCTCATCTTGTGCTCATGCCTAACAGGTAAGCTATGAAGGAATGAAGCGGCTATGTCGTAACTATCGGGAAGTTTCGGGTCGCGATTTCATCTACTGAATTCGCGTATGAGTATCGGGAGGAACATTACGTATCTCCCTATTCACGTTACTGTGAATGATTCCGTTTCCTATGTATCCCGTCTGTTTTCAGACCAGAGTTTCACTGTCCAGTTATGGAAGCAAATGATGCTTAATAGATGTACGCGACCTCGAATCCGGATGTCAGTCCAACGTAGCTCTGGTCCGGTTGAAGCTGCTGAGGAGTCCAAGTACCGCTCTTTAGTCACATGATAGCAATTGAGTGGTGCAGTTGCCTCGTGGGTGCTTTCTTGAAGTACCAAATATGTTGTGATTGCTGGCGCGTGAAGGCGTCGCTCAACAGAAAGGAACAGTGTAATGCTTTGTTTATACGACCGCCTGATGTCTGGCAGTCACTTTAAGATTCGCCTGGCCCTTGTACACGTGGTTGGCCTTCAGACGAGGCCAAAGTTGAATCCTTTCCCTTTAGTGCATGTATTCATTCTAACTTAATGTCTTCTATCTGGTGAGAAGTCTTGGAACTCTACGGTAGTACTTTATTTGCTGGACTGCCGGTTTGATAGACTGTCATTTTAGCGACCGTTTGGCTTTTACTGAGTGAGCAGGCCTTCAGGTCGCATTGACTGACCTCTATATTCCTTCTGCACTTATTCACTTTTGTCAATAGCTTTGGTCACAGTGATTTCTTATTGCTTTTTTAGTATCATTGTCTGCTGTTGGCGTCCTCTGGGATTGGGCAACTGGTTTTGGTATATTTAATGTTCAATTGCTTTAGCCTGTCGTAAGAATATGCATATTCACTACTAGCGTGTGCGCTTTGTTCGAGGCATGGAATACTGTGTTAGTTTTGAGTGCTTAGCATCGGTTATTTGTTCTGACCACTTCGCTCGTTATTCGCATCATTTCCGAGGCGGATTGATGGATTTCTTGATGCTATATTGGCGCTGTCATGGATGTTAAATGTTTAGCACGGGTTCCTATGATACCTATAAAGATAACATTGTGTGGCGACTCAATTAGGTTTCACTAGCTTTTACCCCGATGTACGAAATTAACGCGGTGGACTTCTTTTGACTCCTCATATCATTGGTGAAGTTGGAGCGCTGCATGTAAAACCAGGTCACCTATCGATTTTAATTGTTCAAGAAACTGTCTTCCTCTAAGCATATATATGGCGCTTGTGTCCTAATACAGACTGATTTTTTCATTGCCATTGTACTTTGTTTGGGTGCCGTTCTGAATATTGTCACTCGGGTGGTGACATTGTCTTCTACGAATGGGCTGTCTTTTGGTTGTCTCCGGCCTTGACTCCTTTCAATTTGCTGAGATTTGGGTTACTACAAAGCTGACATTAGAAAGCGAGGTCTACTTTCGATGGATTGTAATGTTTTAATTCTTGCTCTCCGGACTTATTTTTCCTCCGGAGACATTAGTTAGGTTTGCAACTTTCTATCGCACTGGAAAACTTTTACCCTCTTTAATATGACTGATGAATATAAACACTCCTTTGATCGGTTATTAAAACTACACTTGGAATGCATTTCATATTCATGCAAAGTGGATGGGTAAAATTGTGACACCTGTTTTACCTACTTACTGACTTCTGTTTATGGTCGTGGAGATGGTGACGCGTTACAACTTATATTGGTTTACAAGCTCTACAAAACATGGTTATGAAAATTTGTAACGTCTTTTAACATATCTAGATAGTATTCAATCGCACTGATATCAATGTTCATGCTGCCAGATAGGAAGATGTGCAGTTACAACGTGTTGTTTCTAACAGCTTGCCATTTTTTGAAGGAACACTGGAGTTATAAGAATAACAATGTTATCAGGTATTGTGTCCCGGGGAGAAATTGTTCCTTTTGAATTGTATACCGCGACAGCATAGGTCTAACCCATGCTTGCAAGGTATGCCTCTTTCCCTCAACTTTCTACAACGGCTGTGCCGCACCGCAGAAGCTTGTCTTGTCGGTAGCTTCACATCTGTAAATTAAATGCGCTTAGTAGCATGGTAAACATGCTGCAATTGCATGGAGACAGGAGATTATAGCCCTGGCTTCCTAACTGCAGCGCAACTGAGTGACAGCGTTGGAACGAAGGAACACTCCTACCGCATTAAGGCAGCATTGTCTTTGGAATGAATGTAACTCAATGTTACACAATGCGATGATGATGAAGGAATGAGATGAATGCAGTAGTATTTCATGCCTTCTTTCCATGTGCGTCGACTCCATTTAATTTCTCCGAATACTGTAGGTGGTTGTACTACTTATTTTAAGGCCGCTTTTTTGCTTGAATGCACTCATCAACAAGTATTATCTGGGTCAGTAGTGATTTGTACTTTGGTTTATTGCAATGATCCACAGAATCACAAATGCAAGAAGTCCTACCAACTTCAATGTTTATTTCACATTATCGTTAGAACTAGCACATTAGTGCTCATTCTTATTTCGCTTTCTTCGCCAAGATCCAACCACACAGGGCTGCAAGAATCTGAACGATGCAGAATATTTGCAGAGCAATACCTGCGACCAAGCCTTTGCTGCTAAGAGCCACTTCAACCGCCTCCCCGCAGCCCTGAGAAATGCGAAAAATATGTATTGCCATTTTGTCAACGCTACAGTCTTTTCTGGACTGATTGAAGCATAGTTTTTATGTTCCAATATTTGCCAAAGTGAATTATTATCGTTTTGGTAAAATCGGGTATAGCGTCGGCCCTATAAAAGCAGCAAATTGAATGTCATATGAGGTGCTTTCCAAATTGTTGCAGGGTGTGCTGCACTTAATTGCGATTTTGTTGAGATTGCAGAGAGTTAGTGTTGATGCAATTTAATGTTCTGAGTTTGAAGTACGAAAATATATCCAACTTACTTCTGTAAACTGGCTTCTTATATCCGGACACGGTGCCTTGCCTTTGCAACAAAAATTAAGAGTATCATTTACGCCCCAATCCGATGGATCTTTACCACCGCAACATCCAAACTAAAATTATTGCACAATTGTGAGACGAAAGGTTAGTTCTACAAAAAGCGCCTATGAAGATGTTGCATAACGGTGTTTACAAACAAGATGTAGGAGTAGCTTAACGAGGAATACGAAAGGCCTTCGCAAGTTGCGCTTTAAAGGAAACTCCAATTAGCTATTTTCACAGCCCTGTCTGCTAACAAAAATGATTCTAGTAATGCCAATGAAGTTTTACTTGTTAAATAAAAGAGTTGCTGTGTGCAGCAATTTGTCTGCAATCGGAAATGCGATCATCGCAGACATCGTCCGATGCGATGTGGATGCACTTTTTCTCTTTTTGGTAGTCATACGAAGCGAAGAGAGTTTACTGGTCCTTCTCGTATATTTATTGCAGCATAGTCATACTAGGCTCTGCGAGACTTTCGCAGTGGTGTTGATAATACTGGTTGACCAAGTTACTAGTACCTCCATTTAAACTGTTAGAGTGCTTTTAACAAGAACTACAAATTGGGGAACAGCGCCTGTTACCGTCTTTTGGATTGTGAAAAGGGTGTTCTTTAAGCTTTCAGATTCTGTGTTCTCATAGGTTGTAATGGCGTCAGCGAAATAAGTTTCAACGGTTTCTTTGATCTATGGACGCAATTGAGATCGGCGGCACCGGATTTACCTTACTTTGAAAAATTAGGACCAATATAGCCGCGATAATTTCCAGAATAATCATTGCAACGAGACTGCACGAGTACTAGAGGGAATTGGTGATATAGAATGAGGGAGATTACCGCTTTTAGCATAAATGCATCGAGAACTAATGCTCCGCAGCATCCCAGTAGGCCAACAAGAAAGATTATGATTCCGACGATGATAAGAAAGAGAGGCATTGCATGCACTTCACTGATCTGACCTTCCCCGCCCAGTCTCACAAAGATGTAGGCGCCGAAACCAAGGCAAAAAAGTCCAGCAGCCTGGAATGGACAGCGTCAACAATGTTCATCCACTTCCCACCTAGGCACTCCATCCGGATGCGCGAGTCAAGTCCACGAGAACGAACGGTTTAATTGCACAAATAAGAAAACATGTCTTTGCCAACTTATCTCTTATCAATTTCTGGTATCTAATGCAAGTACATGGGCTAAGGAAGTTAAGCGATTGTGTCATCACTTTGATTGGTCTTGCTGATACATGTAAGAAAGTTGGTGAACTCACCAAAACTACAATATTGAATGTCACCAATATGTACTTAAGAAATTTTCCACTTGTTGAAAGTGCCATTTTAGTAGTATGAATGCGACTCTCTCCGAGAGAACTGCGTAATTTGCATTGACGTAATGGCTTATATAGAGGGATGTGCTGGTGGATCCCTTGATCGGCTGAGCGTGAATTTGGCTTTCAGAGAAGTTCGACTCTAAAAATGCCTTAAGTCGCCTGCTTGAAAGTACAAACCTTCGTAACTAGTACAGTGGTGGAAGGAAGCACTTCTCGCTAATAATAACTCGATCACAACATACCACAATATTTCATTTTATGCAAGTTTTGACTGATAAAACGAACCAAGTACCCACCTAGGTCATTTAGTAACAACAATTTCGGTTAAATCACTGAGATATTTGAATTGGACCACAAAATTTCCACTTCGCTATGTGGGTTCTTACCAAGACATGACAAATTTTTAGCAAGCATGACACTTCAACAGATCATTACACCAACCTTCCATATGCCACCACGAAGGGCAGTGAGAGGGATGTACAAAACAAAAAAAGCTATCCTATACTACCAAAAAGCAGTGAACATGTTTTGGAATCGAAAATTACGCCCTACAGAGTAAAAGTAAACGTGATGAATGACGAAATTACGATTTCTAAAGCCTACAGTCTCAGTACTTCAGTTCTGATATAGAAATAGCCTTTGATTTTCTTTTAAAATTGTACTGTAATTTCCAGAACGAAAATATGTCTCATAACCTCCGGGCATTGCATCTTGGTTGGCTTGACAGCTCCGGTTTACATTTCTCTGAGTTGGTATTGTTTTCTAAGTTGGGACGTGAGGGAAATGATGATAACTAGAAATTATGAAGAACTTTGTGCAATACTCGCATAGCAGCATTTTTACCAAATGTTGAACCACTCATCCCAACTTTAGGAAAACTGGCACTACCTCTGGTGAGTTATCATTTGCATGAACTAAGTGCCATCCGTCCCTCTGTCCCAGCGAATCCATGCGAAATTAGCCACTCTATTCCAGGAAGGAAGCCCATGATCTCTATTCCACACTGAGGCACCACAGAACGCACAAGGTTCAATGAACAGTCAAATCGGAGGATAGATCTTAGCATCCTTTAAGCCACTGCTTTGTAGGTCTCACCCCGAAAAACAGGCAAGCAATAGCGAATTGACATCACCTTTGAGCATTTTAAAGCAATACTATCCATTTCTCCCCACCAAACCACCTCCACACGCCTTTTGCAAATGAGCCTGTGCACTTTAAATGAGGCGCCTTCTACAGTGATTTCAAATGAATTTCTGAAATATGCAGTTGTAAGACTGGTTCACGTGGCAAATTTGTGAAAGCCTCTACATACATGACGTATTACACGCTTTGTTCTTCTTCAACAAATAATCAACTCCGTCAAAGTCCGAGTTGGTGAGGAAGGCTCAAGTACTCCATGATTTATGGCTTGACAATTGTTTATGGTTAAAAGTTTATCAAGGGTGAGTGAAGAGTAGAAATAACCGGCTGCTTATGAATATCAGCCTACTGATTGCAATGGTTAAAAAAATTGTGATTGATTGTCAAAGATAATCATGGGTAGAATCAGTAGCAGAGAACGTGGGAATACAATGAATAAAATGACGACTTAATCATATCACAATCAAATATAAGTTCAAAACCAAAAAGACTGCTTCAATCAGAAAGACGTAAATGCAACCATATCCGATCTAAGCGCAGCCGACATTTGGCGATCTCTGGTGGTGCTAGTAGAAGAAGGAAAAGATGTGTCCTCCTGCATCGAGGATGATTCTGTATTCTGGCAGGTTGTGAGACACTGATCCACACCTTCACTCTCACGTTGATCTGGTTCTCTGTTGTGCCCTGAAGTTTCCGTCAGAAAACGGTTCGATGTTGAGCTATAGTAGTCTTCTTTCCCAGGCAGATCACGCCATTTTATCAACTGCACGGCCTTTGTAGAATCCGTTCGCCTTGAGTGTCCTTGTTCCCTCAGGAGAACGGTCGCATCGATGTTATTTTCGGCGCTGCGAGATTCATACAAACCCTGGGATTTGTAATCGGTTACGAGAGGGATAGGAGGAGGAGGAGGAGGAGGAGGAGGGGAGGAGGAGGAAGGAGAGTGATGATCCATATTTTGTGGTGAGTCAAGGATGGTTGCTGGTTCCGACGGATTGGGGAGAGGTGGGGATGATGACAACTTTATTGACTCAATTCGAGCCATGCTATGTGAGATCAATTCCGAAAGGCTTTTCTTCAAGCTTAATCTATTCATGAACAAAAGGAAACCACAATTGTACTCAATTAGACATAAGTAGAATTTCGATTAAACAGTGAAACTCACGTTCTAAGTGTACACTTGCGCTGATCTTTCGGTGCATCAACATTAGTCACCGTGCCGTCATTACTATTCAGTGGTCTACTAGTCTCCTCATTAATTTCACAAGTAGGCGACAGTCTCTGTTCCAAGTCTTCTTTCAGTGATGCTAAATCAACGTTCACATCATCCATGGCATCAAGACTGAGATCATCATCGGAGTTGATATCTGTCGCCTCCAGGCTCTTGGTTTCAGGCTCCTCGACCCCAGGTTCCACACCCGTCACCACCTCGACACTACGCGTCTCGTTTCGCCCCCGAAGAGGAGGGAGGCTACAGCAATGTGCCCGACAAAAATCCTGAAGACTGGCACTGAGGTCTTGCATCGACTTTTTTGTGGGTATAGGAGGAGGATTGCAAAGAGCACCTTTGGACTGCGCTATCTTTGATGCTTCCGTATGCGTAGACAGCTGCAATGATGTCGAGTGTTGTGAAGAAGGGACGACTGACACTGCTTCCTCCGTCGGTGATTCACTCTCACCCGCGATGCTTTTCATCATGCAAATCATCCGATTCATTAGATCTGCACACTTTTCACTCTCAAAGATCAGCAGCCCACGTCCACCAATGCACTGACTACCGGTTAGAATGTAAAGGCGTTCATCATTAAAGCCAAAGCTGAAATGAAACCGTGGACAAAGACTACAGTTGAGAGTTATTAGCTAGATACTTCATGAGTTGTTAGACGTTTATGAAAAGCAATTTAAAATTACCTACCGCAGTTGGGGGATCGCAAAGGGCCACGACTTGTCTGGCTTTTGTACTAAGCATGAAAGCGGCTAATTTCGCCACACAAAGTACTAGTTGTGCTTTCACTATCTCAGCACAACATAGGCATTGATTGTGCGTGTATTTGGCCTTATTAGTAGAAGGGAGAAATTGGGTAAATGGACATACTTTCTTTTACCTCATTTACAACCAATTGTATAGGTGTGATTCAGGTGGTCTCAACCGAACCACGTCTCACGGGCAAGTTTTTTATAGATAAAGGAACAAATAAGGTTGTATAGTTATCTTAACTGCGCATTTGTTGCTCTTCAAGATCCAATGGAAGAAAGTGAATCACCAAGCTTATGAACGCTCAACTGATTTGCACGCCACGAATATTTGCATAACAGATTTTGGTTGTCAGAAGATCCGAAAACTGTTCCAGTTATGTAAATAAGAAGACCCGTGCATTCACTCAAAAAACCACCCTCATTCGCTCAATATAACTACAGTTACACAAGCAATTTAACAGCGAAAACGGAGGAAACTTGAGACCCGATACCTGATTGCAACACCAACTTTTAAAAGACGATTCTCTTGAACAGATTTATGCCCACTAGGAATAATACTCATACGGTTTACCAAAAGGCCAAACCGTTATAGTGTGCTCTGGGATTAATTTTAAAACAGTCGCCAGTGAAAATAGTCTCGAAAAATCATATCTCGATTCAACTCATTGACACTACTACTATCGTAGATAGGTTTACCGAGTTTCAGACCTCAGGATGCTTAGCACAATGAGGAGATGAAGTACATTACTTTATGCAAGTAGTCAGAGTCTGTTGTGGACAATTTATTTAGCTGCTGGGAGAAGAACTAATGACCTCGTTCGCATATACTGTAAAAGCTTTATCATTGAGCCGCTGCCTGAATTGGGGACAAATACATAGTGATATTGGTCCCTCGAGTTAATAGTATCTGCGAACTTGTGGAGAAATCAGAAATACATAAGAAACTACAAAATCCACCAGAATATGTAGCGTATATAAATTCAGCTAATGACGGTATTATCCACGAATGACAAGTCTAGAAAGTTCAAAATTTGAAAATTTACCTTAAGTGCTAAGTTTTGTTTCAAGCAACAACAGCCAAATCCAGTACTTTAAAGTGAATAAAGGTGGTAATAACGCCAGAATGACAGGTACGTAAGCGATTGCTAAACTCACCTCCTTATGGATTTAAAAGGCCATCTATTAACTTCTGACATCGTGATGTAGTCCAAAAGGCACATATCGCACTCCTTTATTTCAAGCAAGAAGATACCTCTAAGTTGTAGGCGGATGGCGAGTTCGGTAGGCACGACGCGCACCTTCATCCCTAAATCATAAATGAATGGCATTATAAATAGGTCTGAAGCGCCAAAATCTCAAGCACAACAAACTGTTAGACTTATTCGATCAAAATTCAGCGCTTGATAGTAATCTGATAAAATCTCACCACTCCAGTCATGCTTTTCATAAACTTTGTTTTCAGTCATAAATTTGTCGATCTCGTTGATATCATAAGAATGCAGTACATTAGCCCCACCATCTCGCATCCGTTTACACCGATGCAAACGACTCGAATTCAATCTTTTATTCTCCTTCATTGCCTCTCTTATATGGATAAGGAAAAGGCGCTGAGAAGCCTTTTCGTTAAAACCAATCTTTACTTCCTCCCCCTTAAGGAGCCTTCGCTTTTGCAAAACAACTTGGTAGATTGGTTCAGGTTTCACTTGGCCCGATTCGTTATTAGGATATTCGACCTTTTTCCGGGTTATTTTCAAGCATCTTTTGTAAGAATTGACTCGAAATCGAATCTTGCGATCCTCTTCATCAACAGACTCATAGATAGGATCAATTGGATCAGCTACAAGAGCTAACCTAGTTGGTCTCCCGGAAATTTCTAAATTAGCCGCAATCCAATCTGCTGTGGGAGAACCACCTTGCTAAAAATGAAAATTCCAAATTCTGCATGATGATTCGCAAAAGGCAAATAAGGTATGCCATCGACGATTGAAAATACGAAAGTAAACAAAATCAGACGATTCGGATTATACCTTGTTAAAGACTTGCCACAAAAACCCACTCCGATTTATGGACATTACCACACATCGACACTCAAAACACCACTGTTTGACAAACCTTCAGTAAACCACCCCTTTAAACAATCAGTCATTTTAATTATTTCGTAATGTAGATTACTAATAGATTGCATAAAAGTCAGCCTAGACGCAATCACATTTTATTTGTTACGTCTAAAAATATACATAGGCCATGACAACTGTATTAGTATGGACCTGATTATTTTGAATAAATCAATCCAACTTCAGCAATATTTATAGTCCATTTCTTTGGCTTTTTTAAGGAGCATATTTCTATACCACCAAATAGCGGGGGGCTTCACGTGGTCTATAATTCCTGCGGTTTAAAAAAATGAGTACATTTTTGTGGTCCTCTACTCATAGTGTTTCGTCGATTCCTTACTTGCTTTACTTACGTGACACCTTCACTTGCTGTCTCCTGCCCTTCTAATCATTCTCCTGTGGTCTTTAGCTTATTTCAGCAAGCTAGTGACTCTCATATTTTGCAAAAACCATTGCGTTTATATGACTCTTACATGCAGGATGTGGGAATTCAATTCGAAGAGATGCATCCTCCTTACAACCGAATCTGACTATTCTTACGCATTCCTAGCCAGTACAGGCCCTCTGCAGTGCCAAATATATCAATGTCAGTAAAGCCTCTTCTGAAAATCTTACGGAGGAGAAGTCTTAGCTGAGTCTTACTGGTCGTCAGAGCTTGTGATGGGCTGTCGCCACCAGCTGCGATCTGCTAGTGACGTGTGGCATAGATTTACTCGCGAGGGCGGCTACTGTATGGCTAAATCCGCCAGGCTCAGGATTCACGTCATGTGAGTTTATTTGCTTCGGACTCAACATGAATAAGTACGGCCGTCTAGCAGAACCTGGTCAGAACTTTGAGGACCGTCCATGGACCGGGAATGGAGGAAAGGTATTTCTTAGCCAGGCTTTCACCTATTTTCCATTCCATAAATTGAGTTCTTTGTTTGCGTGGATGTACTTCCAAAACAGTTTGTGAGTCTTACAAATGGTGTTTCAAGTCTTTTATGCTAGGCGTTGCTCTTTTTAGAGCATGTCTATTTGGGAATCTAAGACTAAATTATCGAATGCAGGTATTGTTTTAACTTTTCTGAAGGTGTATTCATTAAAAAAGTTGGCTACGGCTGACACCTTTCGGTTGTATCGTTAAGAGCCTGAGTATCAGCTGTAGGAACTTAAATATTCCTTCTTCCGGTAAAGTTTGCTCATCACTGCTACTAGTAGAGTGCTTCGATTCTTTACTGAAGGTTTTCAAACGTGGCCCAGCTGTCTACGCATTTGAACATACATTTGATTGGCTTAATAACTCACCTTTCGGTTTGCTTTACCGCTTGTCTTAATTTTCAGCACTAATATTTTTAACTCGCTCCTCCATTCGTGGTATTCAAATGCACTTGACAGCCGTCTGAGATCATTAACGGAAACGTCAACTTTGTGAATACATGTAAACAACATTATTAATTTAGATATTTTAAAATCGAGTTCAATAAATGAAATGCATGGGCAAATGAAGGCGTTAGACCACTGGAGGTCGCATTGAGTTGAGACTGATTTGCAACCTGCAGGATCTGAGGTACTCCATGAGGTACTCATGCTTTTAATAAATGTTCGGTTTTCAAATTTCCTTTTTAGTGGCTACTTTATTAAGTAGCATCGCAACTGCTAGTTTATACTCTATTGGGCATTGTCTTAAAAATATGCCAGTTACAAGGAGAGAGCAGAAGGAGGTTTACATTTAGAAGCTGTTGTTTTCCCACGGCTTATTATTTTCAGCACCCGACACCACAGTACACCAGTTAGCCTCGAAGCCGTGTATGCTTAGCTGAGAAGAGCCTGTGGGGTTTAAAGCTTAAGAGCAAGGCAATGGTGCGAGCCGGTAAGGCGGTAACTCTTTTACAAAGTATTATGATCCCAGAAGGGTGAAATGTATAACTGGAAATGCATCTTCTTTTATCTCTCATAGTATGGCTACGTGTTTGGGGGAAATGCTCATATGCTATTAACGTAACAAGTTGATGATTATGGTAGGAAGTTTTTCGCTTCACTTTGATGCATGCACATGAGTTGCCTTTTCCCAAGAAAAATATTTTAGGGCTGAGTACAAAGCATCATTGGTTAATAGGCTAACATCAAGTTACTGGGATCCCCACAAATGGAGAGTATTCGCTTGAAGAAGTAACCTGATTGCAATTGGCGACTGAAAAATATTAACAGCGGAGAATACCATCCATTTTATTCTGTGACCATTACAAAACCCGTATATCCTTATAAGAGCTTATATCAGATGATAAATAAGGGTGTTTTAAACGGCAAGTGGATTGTGTGATGCATGTTAGCAATATTCGCCAATTTTATTAGGGGATTCTATTAACGATTAGGATTTGCGAAGAAGATATGGGGTACGTGCCGAATATTGGTCTAGCCAAGACAAAAGTAATGCGCCTTCATTAAAATCTGACAACAACTTTCTCCGCCTGATCACCGCTACCACTCAAGGAGAAGGCTATAGGGGAGTTAGCTAGAAAACAAAGAGCGCGTATGGAGAATGAGCTGAAGGATGATAGCATGTAAAAATGGAATGCTAAGACAATACGCAACCAACTGGAAGAACGAAGTAGAAGAGGTGGAAGCAAGGAAAAGGGTCAGATAAAAGTGGAGCAAGTCTTTGAGGCAGCAGGTAGTGATTTCGTTTCGTGATGTGATCGACTGGAACTAACCGCGTTCCAGATTTGCAGCCTCCTGTGCTCCGCGTTTAAGCTGCTACAACCGGGAACTTGAAGAGACTGGAGGGGGAATGCACCGTCGTCGGTGATTGCTCCTAGGGCCGAAGTAGATACAAAAGGGCTTCGAGTGCGTGTATGAGCAGTGGGCTTGACAAGGAGCGCAGCCCTGTTAGTATCCAAAGAGTCACCGTGGCCACTATCTTGATCATTGAAACCGGCTGCTTCAGGCCTCCCCGCTATCTAAATATGGTATAATAGCAAAAACCGACGATATATGGGTACCATCTGCAGTCTGCATATTGTGTAGGAATTATTGGAAACATCTCACAATTGTTTACTTAAACGCGTCTAGGAGAGAAGTAACTGCCAAGTCGATTAAATGATGCACCTACTTAGGGTTGGACTCTTCAGTGACGGTGAGAATGTGATGAAGTCATTGAACTAGTGAAAGCTAATTGAAATTATAAATGCAGCGACGGTGAGTTCCCTAGCTGTGGACTTGATTGTGTGTTTAAGCGAATTTTGAAGTTCTTCTCAAAATGCCCAAGGCATTCACAGGCTGGCACAAAAAAGGTAATTCGGAGTTGTTGGCGTACAAAGGGAAAGAAGTGCTATGACAAAATTAAGGTGGGTAGACTAAGAGTTTGTCGCACACAGATTGATTACAAAATGACTGACAGAGTTGTGGTTCTAAGCCTTTCCATACATTTGAACCACTTTTCGTGTAACAGTCAGAGTTCCACCAAAAGTGTAGCTGGGACACCGACTGTCATCGCCATTCAGGTGGATGCTTTATGTGAAACGAGAAGTTTTTGGGTTGTTGGAAAATGCAGTTTTCTGCAATTACCAAATAAGCTAGTCCCATGCAAAGCAGCAGTTCACAAATTGTGTGAACTTCTGATGCTTTCCAAGTATTGCCAAGAAATTGAATGATGGTCTGATAAGGTTCTCACAGCCACGAGCCAATTCGATGGTACCTGTTCTACTTACCCCTCCCTTACAAACTCCTTAATTATAAGTGCCAGGATTAGCAAGCAAACCGAGACTGTTTACATTAATACAGCAGGCTACTTGAGCATCGCACAGGTCTGATACGTTCCAACAAGGATTACTACTGACGTCACAGACATAAAGAAAAGTCCAGATTTGGTTTTAGTGAACTCATGTGTGTAGGAGCCTGGAACAACAGCGGAATCAAGAGTGCCCCTCATGCGCATTATCGCCTACCGTCTGACCGCATTTGTGGCCTGGCGCTTATCCCCTCTTTCACACTTTGTTCGTAGTCCACCTGCGGCACTTCGAAATATACTCAAAACACGTGTAATGAAAGGCGACAAAGTCCATCGTTAGAGGAACCTTGTTCCTCTTCTGCGCTCTCACTGCACCATGGAGGCGAGAAAATGGTGACTGGTAAACTGCCATCCGTTCCCCTTCACATTCGGCTTTCTTAATTACTTAATTCTGTGGCGTTTCATGTTTCAACCAGGATACAACACTCCGAATCTCTTGGCAATTTAATCCACAAATAATAGCTCTACTTTGTTTTGACAAACCGAGCCTAATTTTAATACATGTTTTGCACTTGTCCTTCATCAGTATACGTGCACATAATTAGCGGCATTTCTGAAGTGAAGTAAAAGCAAATCGCATATCAAAGTGTCCGGTCAAAGTGACCCTGGTCAACGTTAAGCCCGAGCATTTTTAGATTAAACACTGTCCAAGACTTTGGGTCACAAAGTCTGTCTCACTTACTGCGATTGCTTCGATTGTAGTAAGTACTTGGGATTGAAATCTAAGAAGAAGAAGAAGAAGTGTAGTGTTTTTCTTACATTATCACGGTCAAAGGCCACCCCAGGAATCGGAACGAAAGGCAAGTGCTAAAAATGCCTATGATCAACGTGAGGGGCTGAAGTTGGATGAAGGCACTGAGCAACGACGCTATTCTGCCTATTAATTACGCGAGGAAATTTTTGCTATATCAAATTTCAAAGATAAATAAAGTGTATTCGCATCTCAAGGGTTGTTAACCTAACTCCACCCAACCAGGCGCGCATAGTTTTACGACGCTTTTACGATTACTTTTAAATGGCGCCACAATAACCCTACCTTGGACACCATAAAATTTGGCAAATCGACCGTTACATTAGGAGTGGAACTTCATCAACAAGTTCAGTCATATGTTGAAGCTCACAGCCCTTCTATTCCCTCCCTAAATTCTTTACTTCCCTCCTGCCAATGAGACCAAAATGAAATTGGTTGTCCTTGCTAAAGGAGTTGGAAGTAGGTGCAACACAAATCCTCCTAATACTTAACCGTTGAAGCCTAGCCGACCATGCAAAACTCGGTCTACGGTTTATTCCCATTTCTACAAAAGTTGCATCTGATCTGCTAAGTCTGTTCGACAAAAGTAACATGATCTTGGGCAATCTCATGCATTCGAAAAGGTAGCACCTTTGTACGGGAGACAAAACCGGTAAGCCTGGACATTTAGCATCTGCGATCATGGCATCGCTTGCCACCAAAGCTCCAGGAAACGATACGTCAGGCGGACAGAAGAATACCAGGCATTAACTAGGCGAGCAGCAGTGATTGGGAACTACACCTTATCAGTAGAAGTTGAATTACTTATTCCAACAATAGGTGGTTTGGATTCAAGTCCAATCACCTGAGCCGCTTGTAGACTCACATTTCGAGAGCGGAAGATGTGTGGCCTTAGCCGCCACGAGTCGCTACAGCTATAAAGAGTTTTCCAATGGCATCAAGCCATTTAAAGGGAATGGACGTGCAGAATCACGTCCAGAATCAAACTTTGGTAATATAACGCATTACAGTGAAGAGGTGTGTGTTAAGAATCAGAAAAGTGTTCACTGCTCTACGGAGTTGCAGTTTTAGGATTCACGCATTACGCACCCATGCCACACATCGAGACAGCTGTGTTTGTCACTCCTCCAAACTCCACTTTTCTATAATCGGCTGAAACTGTGTTTACCCTAGTTTGATGCTACATGGAAAGGACTTTAGACTCTGTGACCACTTCTCGAGCAACCATTTCCACTTGCTAAATATTGGAGTGAGCTATTGAATTGAAAAAACGAATTTGCGCTCAGTAGTGGTCAGGTAGTGTAAGGAATCAACAAAACATTTGATCAACTGTACAATGGTTGTGTGTTGTCAAGATGTTTCAAATTTCATATTTTGACGCAACCAACAAAAGTTCGATTTAGCTCTGTTTTTAAGCCAACATCAGAGCAAAAAACAATTAATTTTCAGTCAATTTTACTAGAGCCAGTAGAAGTACCTCTTGGTAACCATTTTCAGAGCCGAAGGATTCTCAAGGAGCTCGCTCCCAGAAAAGTAGGAATAGTGTGCGTTCAGACGGAGTGCACTGGTTCTAAGCAATGGTTGATTTAATTGATAGTCACTAGGTGGGGTAGCTGTATCGCTAACGCCTTTAATAAGCTGGAAGGTGGCAGTATTAGTCAAAATGTCCACTGACATTGCCTCGTTATTGATGAGTGGCGAGGGGACCGTGGCTCTCATCGTCTTGGCAACGGTCAGGACGCACAAGCAGCAGAGAGCATAGCGTGTTGAGAATGCCGGTGCTTGAAGGTTCACAAGGTCAAGCATTGGTCTGAACATGCAAGATGCATGCATGTTGTCCAACTCCACTGCTTCTGCGTTCGCCTTAAACCTACAGTTGCTTTTGGCATCACCCTTAATTAAGTGCTATTATTTAAGGACGCTGTTAGTCATAGTCACAAAAATGGATTTGTCGTCATCAGACAAGTACAGCTATTTTGTAGCATTATTGTAAACAGGACGACTACCAGCACACTTTAACTGTGACAGTTTCTACGGCTTACACAAGGGATTGATAAGAAAATTTGGCTCACGTTGGTTCAGTGCCAAACAGTTCCGAAGCAGCGCTCCTCATGAATCCGCGCGGCTGTCACAGTGTTATGTCGTGAGTTCTTGCTGCGTCCAGATCTCCAACACTAGATCTCACCCCAAAACATAACTCACTTTTGGGAAAACTTGCTAAATTCCGTCTTGCATGCATGAAGTTGATATAGCACCTTTTGGAAACATTGCACAGTAACAGAGCTTGTTCGTCCATGTTTACAATTCATCATAGAATGCACAATATGTGGTTTTCATTTTTAAACTACCTTTTTGGGCACCTTAGAGAATTCAATCAGGAAGATGTGCTCTGCAAATCTGAATGAGCCTCAAAAGAAAATAATATTTTGAAGAAAATGCTGGACGTTGACTAAGAGGGCGTAATATGTACGAAAAGAGAGGCGACATTTAGTTGCAATTTAGATGTCAAGTCTGATAAACCATTTTTATCATTCTGCTTCCACAAATGCAAGGCTCACCATAGAAACCTTATCGCTATAAACAAGCCGCAAGCACACTGCAGTAGTGCGCTCGACAATACCTGAAAGTGGCAGTCATCAGTTTAGGATTCAAGAAACCACCGTCACTTTGCATTCACTGGGCCAATGACAACTCCATGTAACTTACCCCGTTTTTTAAACTTTTCGCAATCTTACTATTTTTGGCAGGTTTCTTTTCCAAGTATTATGTGCGCATTTCTTGTCTGGTCTGTTTCATTGACATAATCTACAGTACCAACATTGGCCACACTATTTTGTCATTAGGAAATTCATTAGTTATTGTTTGCACACACTATAACCATAAAACACCAGCTATTGTCAGGCTCAATCCAATGAGAAAGGTGAAACAAGCTATGTGCTCATTTCAAGCCTAAAATCGTCTTCCTTCAAGTGAAGGCGCATAGACAACCAGCGCTTAGCGTTGTGCCATCGGAGAGAGTGAAAAAAAGAATTGACTCAGTGTCACGAGCCTTCAAGGGATCGCTCACTTTCGGAATCGTCTCACTAACGATCGTCGAGTCAGGAATTTCACGAAGTTAACTACAGACGTTAAATCAACGCATGCGCCTAAAGTGAGAATAAAATAACGGCTTAATAAAGGATTAACGGAGTGAGATTGTGAATTTCGTGTCTCTGAGGTGACTAGCAAATTTGCAAGCCAAAAGGGTTATTATAATGAGGAATTATTAAGAACATATGAGGCAGTAACACAATCTCAGACTGACAATATAATAGAAAGTAGGCCATGTGAATCGCACCTTAGGGTAAAAAAGTCGAGTTGCACGCACACCATCGACATATTTATTCAGTTTTAAAATGAGAAAAATTTTGGGGAAGGGAGAGACGTCTCTCCTCACGCAGAAAATGACTGCTGTTTTTGGAGGGAAGACAACACCATCATAGCCATCCAAACACAATACATCCACTTTGCTTTGAATTGCGTATATCTTGATATCGATGGTGTTTTTCGCGTTAATAACATTTTAAACGATGATGTGTGCATGTGAACCACCCTTTTTAGGACATGAATCATCGCCATAGTGATCGCTGTTACTCACATGCTGTTGTCATGCTTCTTGTGGCGCAAACAAACAGTAAAAAATCATGTCCAATGGAGCAACCAAATTATACCCTTCTGACAAGGAACTAAGCTGAACACAACTAACAGCTTAACGCACAAAAATGCCACTTAACGAGGAGAACGTTTCGAGGTACGCACTTCATGCCTATCAAAGAGTCCCTCCTGACTCCCCAACCAGATGGCGTCTTCACAGGTTAGCGAAAGACCGTGGGTTGGTCGCGCAACGCAACAAACAGAACTGCTGAGATCGCCTCGCGATGTAACAGCCGTGCAAGTAGAGACGGTTGTGGTGACTGAGGAAGGGTGGGGAGGTAACGTTGTCCCACATGCCTCACCCGTGGTCCCCGTGACAAGACGACCGCTCAATGGGGCACCGAATTCGTCTGCAGCAGCAGAACTCATCATTGGGTCAACTGTGGCATAGACGAGGGCGGCAGATGAAGAGGAAGTGGGAGACCAGCGAGCAGTGGAGACGAGAGGGATTGCATGGTATACCTTGCCTCCCGCATGTGCAAGCGTATAGGATGCCGGCAATGCCCCAAGGTCGGGTAGGAAATGAGTGTTGCGTTGGTCCTGCATGGAACTATCGTTTGTGGCAGACGTGTTGTGTTTCTTGTCTAAAATAAGCGATATGTACTGGGTGAATGTCAGTGTAACAAAGAGTCAATTCCTCAATAATGAAATTGCTTTTTATGTTCATATGTACAAGATCATGCACCTCCGGTTGCAAAGATAAAAAACAAAGCCGCCTTCTCTCAAATCGGTGTATTGCAAATTTCAATTCTTCCTTAATCTTGTGAAGGATCCCAGTGGAGGGTAATGCAAAAATTCGGGTAGAACAATTTCTTTGCATGCCATGTGTTCCTTCATAATTTACCGCGTATTTTAAATCAGTTAGAACTAGGAAAACAGCTAAAGGAGATTATTTCCATTAAACATTTAAACGTTGAAAGTGCTAAAATGTTGAGAATTATCACTTTTGGAACTGTAAATTAGACGATCTGGTGATTGAAGCGCAGAACGAGTACCTATGGCATTTAATAATTCTCAAACATCGTCTGTTTTGCTTGAATTGCTTGGATTTACAGCTATTTTAACAAGAGGACAGGTGGAATCTTGGAGTCGGTCAATCTCATTCCATTGGAATTCAGTCACCAGGATTCGATCAAGAAGTTCATGCCAAGTCTATGCAAATATGCAGAAAGCCTTGAAGAACAAAACGAAACACAGTTACATACAAATCCTCTTGAGATCCAATGTAAAATAAGGAAGGCACTGAGCCATGAATAAATGAAAAAAGGGCTGTTGAGGTAGTTTCCGGCAAATGAAAATAGTTTCGCCAAGCAATAAAGCGGAGGAAAGCGATATGCTAATTTACCCCTTCACCTGACGGCTTCATTTGAAGATGCATTTTTCGAATGATTCAAACGCTTTTGCTTAAGCTGTAAGAATAAAATTTTGGTTGCCTGTGATTTCGAGGAAGTTAATTTCATGATATGAACAAATTAAACGTGTGCAGTGCCTGACAATGGGGTTGGCAAAAACAAGTGATAGCGTAAAAGAGAACGTTCACTCACTCATGAGAGGAAGCGCATTCACTTTGGAGACAGTTTTGGTGCTTTGTACATTTCCAGAGTCGTTCAGATTACAGATTTCCGACTCTCTAAAGTCTAAGTCCTATCCGCATGACTTTTTAGTTGAGGTAACTGCAGCGATCCCGCTATTTGCCGATTTTTGAAGTGCTGATATTCGGAGGACGGCTTCTCTTGAATGGTCACAAGTCTGCATTTTTGTTGTTTAAATTGGTCTCATTACCATATACGCATGTACTAGCGACAGAAGAGGGAATAACTGACGTCGATGAACCTGGTTTTACTAAAGAATTAATTGGTGTTACTTCAGAGAAGATTATTTGACTCAAAATGGTTATTTACTTGCAAACCACGATGTAATGAAGTATTAGTAAACTTAACCTTGGTACTCAATTGTAGAAGCGCCACAGGCAAAATTAAAAGTTTAGGTCACGCTTTAATAAGTGTTGGCATTGCCGACGCGGTAAACGCCAGAGTGTCAGTCGTCTCATAAATACTTTTGTAAGAAGTGAAGCAGTCGTCTAAATTTGACCAAAATCAAAAGCAAGGTATGGCGAACTGACGATTTAGTTCGTTCTTCACTAGCTCAAAGTGTATTATTCAGAACACAAAGTGCGCAATGGTGAAGAGATAAATATTGTGACAGATGTCCAAAGTAGCATTAATTTGCAACGCGTAGCTAGGCAGAAAGGCATTTAAAATTAATGATTAGCAAGAGTGAACCCTGAAGAGACCACTCACGCATTGTATGCGAATTGCCTGAGTTTCGACGAGACTTGCTGAGAACAATGCAGACAGCGGTGAGAAGGACCGTTGATATTATGAAGGCTGCAGCAACGATGAAGATGATAATGAAGAGGTTGATCATGGAGTCAGAAATGGATTTGCTGAATCCTGGCGAGCCTGACTGTCTGACGGCACTTGCGCCCTTCGGCACTGACTTGTCGACAAGCACTTTGAGAATTGCCTGTGTCTGTAGGGGTTTTATGCCCATATCACTGGCAACTATGTGCACATTAAATGTGTGCCCAACATCCGAGATGGAGAAGGGTTTTTTTAAGGAAATCTGTCCGTTGGTACGATCAACTTGGAAGAGCGCCCTTTCGGAGTAGTCAGAGGAGCTGGAAGCAGTCTGAATGGTTCCAAGGTAGTACTGTACGGTCCCATTGATTCCAGCATCAGCGTCAGTGGCGAACACCTGCAATTCCGCATTAAATAAAAACTTTAGAAAATTATAAGAAAGAAATATAGATGAACTGTATTGATTTTTAGCAAAAGTGTAGCTTGTGACTGTTTAACTGGAAGTTGGGAATTTGCAAACTAAGTCCAAGACTAATTACTAGACGCACCTGACGTATGGATCTATCAATTACCGAGGGTGAATTGCATTATTTATGCACATGGCCTTGTAGGACTTAGTCAGCTACTTTGTTGGCAGCTTTGGCTTGAGGATTGTCTCCATCTGATGGCCGTCGCCCTGCCACTTGCAAGCAGCGGTAGGACACGGCCAGCAGGCTATAAACGATAGCCAGATGGAGACAGCAGCGGCTCATCGTCGTTAATACCGAAAATCTTCAAACAGCACTGCTCATTGTTAAAAATTAATAAAGCTGGTAATGGCCAATGATATGAAAACAATCTACTAATTTATTCATTCATATGATGTGCATGCCAATGGAAAGTGGACACAACTCTTGATTACATAGAAAGAACACACGACTTGGCTTTTGAATGAACTACCTATTTCCGGGAATTCCCCACTCCTACATGTTAACCTTCATGCTTCTCTAAATGGATTCGCCGTATGAATACTTAGACTAAAAATTAAAACTTTTCCGAAGAAAAAAAAAATAACCATGACCTCATTTCTTGCATTTAGGAAATTCTAGCAAGGTTAAGTTAAGCGAAAATACTGGCGGC